ATACTACCGAACGGCTCGTGCACTTGCGAGTATCACAAGTTGAGGATGCAGCTGAATCCATTTTGGTGCAGCTGTATTTACGCAACAATCACGAACCAGACGCTGTTTGCTGGTTAAAATGCGAGATCTTGAATCTGTTTGCTGGTCTGAAAATATTCTTGTTGCTGTGTGGCTTCTTTTTAATTGAATTTTTTGGTGTCAGCAAGGATTTGGGTTGCAGCAATGGAGGGTTGTGGAGGAAGGAGAGGGTTGTGGATGAAATTCTGAATTTATCCTCACACTTGACAGAAAATTTAACAGATTTGACGGAAGGACTATTGGTGCAACATAGCACCTAAACCCTAAACCCTAAACCCAACTAATAATTGAATTGAGGGATCAAAGTGTAGCTACGGGTATAGTTGAGGGACCATTGTTGCGAATAACCTTTTTTTATATAACAAAAACAGTAATATAGCCGCGCGGCTACACTATTTTTTTAAACCCGAGTATAGCCGGACGGCTATACTATTTATAATATAAAAAAAACCACCGCCTGGCGCCTAGAGCCCGTCTCATCGTGTTTATAATAAAAACGTAGCCGCGCGGCTATACCTTTTTTATTAAAAAAAAACCACGAGTATAGCCGTATTTATATAAAAAAAGGGACCCGGCTGGCGCTAGCGCCTACCGCCCGCTTTGGCATGAGTCAAAAACAGTATAGCCGTGCGGCTATACTTTTTTTTTTTTAATTTTATAATTAAAAACTTAGTTTACATTAATTTCCTGGCAAAGCTTACAACGCTGTTTACATTAATTTCCTACTACAAACCAAAATTTGTATCAGATATAGTTATATATAATGTATAAATTCACTAAATAGGTAAAAAGAAACCAAAATTTCTCATGTTCAGCACATTCACACAAAGAAAGAAGAAAATTATGCTATATAGATTTTTGTTTGATATCAAAATCTCTTCAAACTCATTTTTTCGTCTATCAAAGCTAAATAAAAAACATCAGTGAAATGCCACGCACTGTTAGGTTCGTCATCACCTCCTTTCAGAACATACCAGAGATTTCTTAACAAGCTAATCAGAGATATCAACAAGACTCAAAGTCATAACTCAGTACTGCTACCAAAATTCAAGTTGCCGTCTACGCATAAATTCACAGAAAAGGTGCCCATGAACCACTATTCTCCAGTTACAGATCACTAAACTAACCTGAAGAAAATCATGCCTTTCTTTTTTATTAGCAGAATTGAAAACTAAAGACAGAACAAAATTGAAAGACAAGTCAACTGAAACTTAAAAGTTTTTTTCATTTTCTTTGCTCACTATATATTGCTTTTTCATAAAGCTCGTAGAAACTTAGGATAAAATCTTTTTAGTCTCTCTTCCAAGTTCCAAAGCAATCCTATTAACATAGCTGAGACCAATAATGCCACTCATAACTCTCAAAAATCAATTTAACTTGACACATAGGAATACCTCTTAAAACATTTAAACATAATTCTTCATGTATGCCCTGAACAGAATAAAGCACATGCTTGCTAAATTTACTAGAATACAGATTTATAATTATAAATAAGCACTGTTACAACTTTGTCCATGCTTGCTAAAGAGTAAGACTCACAGCTCAATTCAGCATCCTATTCATTACTATCACTTGGTGCACTTACTACACGACCACTTAGAAGTTTAGAACTCAGTGGCTTGCAAAATCAAGAAAACTAGAGGATATCCATTCAGATATGAGCTCCGAAAATGACAAAAGGGTTCTCTTTCAAGGAGAGAAAATGAAAAGTTGTACGCACCAATCCCATAGAAGATTTAGCTTGTAACCACTTTGATAATTTTTTGTACAACACAATGTTAACTTGAATATTGTGGCCAATGCATCTACCATTGATTCACAATCTGCAGGAAACCGAAGTGCACAAATTAGACCTAAAAATTTGGGATGAAGTGGAGCAAGGCAAGGTCACTAAACCCTTCTCTGCCATTTCAATGTCATGTAGCTTAAAACATGCATTTCGATCATTAATGCCTTGTGTAATTCAAGGCACTGAGACCAGTTTGAAAATCAAAGGGACTGCACTATAGTACTATTAGCTACTATATTTTTTCACATCAGAACAATACTAAAATAAAAATTAAACAAATCACTGCTCTTATTTAATTAAGAATCATGCAAAACCATGTGGAAAAGATGAAATTTTTGACCATCTGTTTGTACGATGTCTTATTTAATTGGCCAATTTTGATGAGTAGAAATATTGAAAGCAAGTGTTCATTTGTAATTTCCTCCTGATATGTCCCCTAGTGAAATCAAGAGCAAATCCTCAAGACCAATCGAAGATTCAAAAATATATAATACCAACCTCAAGATCGCAATCTTTGGGGTCCGAGTTCTTTATCTCAATCCGGCAATTATCAACCCCCATACCATCTGAAGCTGAAAGCAAATGCTCACCTCAAATGCTGCCATGTTTTCTCTATAGTGGTTGAATTTCCAGGCAAAAAGAGAGAAGCCATAACAATAACCCAGAATAGTAAGATTCAAAAATATATAATACCAACCTCAAGATCGCAATCTTTGGGGTCCGAGTTCTTTATCTCAATCCGGCAATTATCAAACCCCATACCTTCTGAAGCTGAAAGCAAATGCTCACCTCAAATGCTGCCATGTTTTCTCTATAGTGGTAGAATTTCCAGGCAAAAAGAGAGAAGCCATAACAATAACCCAGAATAGTAAAATCCAACCCCTTTGATAATTCTCCAGCGTGAGACATATGGCCGTGCGGCTATACTCGGGTATATTTTTATTTTTAAAAAATAGTCTAGCCGCGCGGCTTTACTAGGGTAAATTTTTTTTTTAAAAAAAAGGTCCGGCCGCGCGGCCATACTTGTTTTGACACGTGGGCACCTAATCGCTAGGCGGGTCCCTTTTTCTTTTATTATAAATTGTATAGCCGCGCGGCTATAGTCCCGAGTATTTTTCAAAATAGTATAGCCGCGCGGCGATACTTCGGGGTTTTTTTTTTTTAAAATCGTATAGCCGCGCGGCTATACTGGGGTTTTTAAAATAGTATAACCGCCGGCCTTACTTGGTTTTTTTTCCCCAAAATACTATAGCCGGTCGGCTATACTATTTATTCAGGAAAAATAAAAAAGGTCCCAAGTATATACGATTTATTAAAAAAATTACAGACAGAAAGCTCACAGTATATCACACCAATCCTATTCCTCCTAACCCGTTACTTTCATTCAAAACCCAGAACAAATATAGCCGCGCGGCGAAGGTGAAGGCTCAGTAAAAGTAAAGTTGAAGAATTGTTGGCTTTTGGCGCCTTATCCCTCTTCCCACCGCATATCCATAACTTTGCACAAAACCATCAAAATTGAATTTGACCCATTAAAGCTCATCCAAAGTTTCCACTTTGACTCTCAAATTTTTCATTACGCAGTTCAAGATTGCCTCTCTTTCTTCATCCATGGCTATGCCCCAAAACCTCAAACCCACTATCACACCATTCCTAACCTCCCCTTCAGTTTCATTCAAAACCCAGAACAGCTCACTCTTCTTTGGCACAATTACTTCAACAAGTGACAACTACAGAACCCAGCCACCACCATTTTCATTCAAAACTCGCACTAACTCACAATTCTTCAGCACCAGAAGACTGTTCCTCCCTTCAGTTTCTGGCATCTGGGATGCCTTAACTAGCGGTAATAATGCGCGTGAAGCCGTTGCCGCGATTCGCCGTGGAATGGTACTCTTTAGGCAGGTAAAATCTGATCCTTGTTCCGTCCAATGATCCAATGCTGTTTTCTAAATTTCTCTTGACACCACACTTACATGTTCTCATAGTTTGGCATTAAAAGTTTACAACTTTGTTATTTGTTAAGGGTGATGTTTCAGGGTCTGTAGCAGAATTTGACAAGGCAATTGAGTTGGATCGTCGCCAACAGGCATGTGAGTCTGATTGTAGCTCTTGATAATTACTTTTTTGGTGGTTTTTGGGATATGAATTGTTGAATTAAGTTACATAGTGTTGGCTATGGTTGTTATCAGATCTTTGGCAAAGGGGACTATCGCTTTACTATCTTGATAGGTACTAGTTCTTTGATGGTTCTTGTTTCCACATTATTTTTGTTAGGTACTGAAATAATTAAATGTAGACAAAATTAAAAAGTGTGTCACTTTAGCCTTAGATCTGTCATTGGAATAAAATTAAAAATTAAGGATTCCTTTCTACAGGAAAACATGAGGATAAAATGTTAAATTTCGATTCGGTTAAGGTGCATGTCAAGAACTAAACTGGGTATCTTTATGCACAGGTTTGAAGAAGGGGCAGAGCAGTTCCGATTAGATGTTGCCCAGAATCCAAATGATACAGAGGAGTCGATTTGGTGCTTTCTATGTGAAGCTCAATTATATGGGACTAGTGAAGCAAGGGAACGATTTCTTGAGGCAAGTTAGTGACACCAAGGACACTGTCATTCCTTATAGGAAGGTTTCTGATCCAGAAAGTTTTTTATTTTATTTATCTGAGGAAGATTATGGATGAAGCTAAACTAGGCTTTGAGCTTTAACTTTGAGCCAGTGACTTTTGGCCATCTATAGGAGCAAGCATAACCAAGTATATTTACGAGTCAATGTGTAATTCTAGCTGACACTTTTTAAGGTGCTTTTTACTCCCATGTATTGAGTGAAAGGTTGAATGAAGTTCTTCTAACTACATACTAGATGAATGCAGGTTGGCCAAGATCCAAGACCTGTTATGCGAGACGCCTATAACATGTTTAAAGATGGTGGTGATCCAGAAAAGGTGTTGACTGAGAAATTTCTTTTTTGACCAAACATTTCTTATTTGAGCTTGCTAGTTGTGTAGTTCATAAGGTTAGAAAGGCATCTCTCCCAATATATATCCTCATGTCTCTCTAGGGGTGCTTACTGGATGGCTTTTATCAGTTTATATGAGATGTTGAGAATGCAGCTCTCTTTTGCTTCATGCTTTCTGTGGAATACTCATGCCTGCGGACCATTTTCCAGCCGGAGGTTAATTGGAGTAGCTGAAAGTTGTTTAAGAACTCATTAACATTTTACGGGACTGAATGCTTTAATGGTCTTTAGATAATTTTCTGTTTATTATATAGGCCCGTCTAGTTGCACTAATACAAAGAATTTCCTCTGACATAAGTGATTGTTCTTATTGCCTAGCTTGTTGCAGCATTTTCGAAAGGCCGAGAGAGTGATTACTTCTACGCTTCTTTATATGCTGGGCTTTATTATGAAAGTCAGGTTTGTTTTAAACTATAATATCTTTCTGTTAGATGCTCCTTTGGTGTCACATGTTGTATGTCAAATGTTCTTTAAATTTGATACTTTCGATTAAGAACTGATGCTGAGACATTGCTGGCTGAACTTATAGCTTGAAACTAATTGCCTATGTCTAGACAATTGATGACTTGCTATTTTTCACCTATGCAGAAGAAAACTGATGCCGCCGAACTTCATATCGTTGCTGCATATCAGTCTCCTTATGGACAAAGGTTTGAAGTATAAACTAATTTTTAAGTAAATCAGTTGAGTAACCATTCAACAACATAAAATCTAATTTCCTTGCTCTTGTCAGATCTGATGACTACATGGCTTCTCTAGCCAAAGTTCATTGTCTTTGTCGAAAGTGGAGTTTGAATTGAAGTCTTTGGCTCAAGCTCAGTCAATCTTATGTTCAAGTTGGTTTATCATGTGTTCTAATGCTCATATTATTGTAAGGCATTGTTGTTCGGTGAAGTGGGTGCAGCGGCAACCTAAATATTGTTCGAGAGTGTAAAGTCCACATCGGAAACTTGACACAATATATGTATACTTAGTGATTCCAATACTAGTAACACCGAGACTTTATGTGTTAAAATTCACACCATTGGGGACAAATATGTCTGTTGTACTAAGTTGTGTCCGACTTGTCCAATATTCATAGCTAAACGAATCACATGAGCTTTCTATTTGTGGCCAGACAAATCACATGAGCCTGTGCCATTGCTAATCAAGTTAAATGATGCAACTACCACAATTGTTAAGTCAACCTTGCAATTTTTTTTCTTTGTGAGTTATCATTTAAGCTGCACAATCTAGCCGTGCACGACAAAGTGTGGGACATAATTTATGAACGTTACTTTTCTTCTAAGTATTATCTTTTTAGTGGGTGGAATAATAGAATCTCCAACAACAACCCTCATGCCATATTTTACTAATTATACTTAATTATATATTTTAATTTAATCTCTCAGAGAAATGCATAATCAATGAGTTTGCCCACTATAAACCCTTTTCAGCATATTCGCAGAGGTAAGCACAAAAAATATGAATATTCTTTTCAAGTGATCCTTCCATGGGGATATGCCATATGCAACAGCAAATTGTACACTCTTCATGACAATATTAAATTACCAAAATGTCCTACTTCATTCATGAAAATGGATTTTTAAGGAATGAGGTTATAATGAAGCCAAAATGTTCAAGGGGTATTTTTAGCAATGTAACGTATAACATGTCCATGATTACAAATATCATATCCATACAAATAGGATATAATACGTAAATAAATTCAATTAGTTTATACTATTTTCCTTTCTTAAAGAAAATATTAATTTCGACCCTCCTTGTGACCACTAAACTTACCCAAAACTTCATGCTATCTACTTTAGCTCCTGCCACGTGTAATTGCACACTAGTCTATACCTCAGGACGACACGTGTTGTTAAAATATCTAAACTACATGAAAAATCCATGTCGCTACGGGTCACCCAGAGCCGCCTTCTTCAATTTCCCGGTATGAAAATACACGAAACGCCGGGACTTCTGTAAACTATAAAAACCGCTTCCTTTCTTCTCTGTCAAAGCTCTTCTCTCTTAATTTCTTTCTTTTGGGTTTTCGTAAAAAACCGAAAGTCACTCACTTTCTCTGGTTTTCAAGGATATGCAAGAGCTGAGTTTATTGAGATTTCAAGCAAAAGAATTAGCTGATGTCGTCGGAGAAGCTCATTGCAAATGGTGCGGTACAATCCGAGGCAATGAATATGAATGCGGCATCTTTCTCCTTCACGCCGATTTTCGAAGAGTTGCCAGTGGCCACCATTGTATCGGTGTCGCGGCCCGATACCGGAGATATCAGCCCCATGCTTCTGTCTTACACCATTGAGTTTCAATACAAACAGGCATGCTCTCTCTTTCTCTGTATATGTATCTCTGTTTACAGCTTAGGATGATTGTTTTATTTTTATTTTTAGAAGATCATCCAGCTACTGGTTTTAAATTGCAGACTGACGTTGACTTTAGATAAATGTTTTGGGTACTTCATTGATGAATTTCCAATTTTGTCTTGTGACAATTCACAAACTCTTAACTGGCCCGGTGGTTTCGAAATGTCGTTATGCCATGCTAAAAGATTTGTTTTGTATTCCTCTTCAACAGTTCAAGTGGCGGCTGCTGAAGAAAGCATCACAAGTTCTCTATTTACATTTTGCTTTGAGGAAGCGCGCAATAATTGAGGAGTTTCATGAGAAACAAGAGCAGGTTTGCCAATTGTATTTGATATCTCCCTGTCATTCTTGATTGTTTGGAACATTTATGAGCCTGCGGACTTGCCCCAGTTTTCCTTCTTATGCCTAATCTGCACCATATACCGGATGCAACATTTGATCAGTAGAGGAATTTTTTTAATCTGTATTTGGCCTAATCTTTATATAATTTCCCTGGGAACTTTGCACGAAAGGTGAAAGAATGGCTTCATAGCATAGGAATAGTAGATCAGACGGCAGTAGTGCAAGATGATGATGAACCGGATGATGGGGCTGTTCCTGTACATAATGAAGAAAGTGTTAGAAACAGGTGATTTCTGACTTCATAGTGCTTGGTCCAAATTTAGGTCTTAACACCATAGTACTTCTGATTTTCTGAATTTGGTTGCTATGCAGATACGTTCCGTCGCGTGCTGCTTTGCCCATCCTCCGTCCAGCACTAGGAGGGCAGCAGTACATTTCGGACAGAGCAAAGGTGGCAATGCAGGGTTATTTGAATCATTTTCTGGGAAACATGGATCTAGTAAATTCTCGAGAGGTGTGTGAACTCCATTTTTATTAGTGCTGTCATTTGTTGGTACTCATTTTCAGATTTATTACAAGAAGTGGTTTCGAATTGTAGGTCTGCAAATTTTTGGAGGTCTCGAAGCTCTCCTTTTTACAGGAGTATGGACCAAAGCTGAAAGAAGGTTATGTAATGGTGAAGCATCTACCAAAAATTGCAGGGGCTGATTCTGATGTGAACTCTTTTGCGTCCCTTTGTCTTGGTATCTGTAGCAACAACTGGCAAAAGGTTTTGTCAATGGCCTTTTATTCCTTTGCTTGTTTATTTCCGTATAATCAAACTATGTTTGCTTACAATTTGTCTAATTCTTTGTAGGGAATGGTATTTTGTATTATCGTGTTTTTCTTTGTCCAATTGCAGGTGTGGGCTGTTTTAAAGCCTGGGTTCCTGGCCTTACTAGAGGATCCTTTTGACACTGAACTTTTAGACATAATCGTTTTCAATGTACTGCCAACCTCAAATGAAAATGCATGCTCGCAAATATATTTGGCTAATCAAATAAAGGAACGCAATCCTTTACGTTATACATTAAGGGTGAGCTGTTGTTTTAATTTACTTTTATATTGGTTACACGTGGCTTGTTTATTATGAGGATAGCTTCAAATCTGTTAGATACACTTTTATGTGCTTTGAGCATCTTTAGCTTAATTCCTTCTTACATAAGTGTTTGCTGTTTTCCTATTTAGAACAGCTATTGTATAGTTCTATTCAATTCTCTGACGACCACTTTGATTTGTAAATGTCTAAAGGTTGCATGTGGAAATCAAAGCTTAAGGTTAAGAACCACTAGCAATGCTAAAGTAAAAGATTGGGTTGCTGCAATTAATGATGCTGGTTTAAGGCCTCATGAAGGTTGGTGTCATCCTCATCGCTTTGGTTCCTTTGCTCCTCCAAGGGGTTTGACTGACGATGGGAGTCGAGCTCAATGGTTTGTAGATGGCCAAGCAGCATTTGAAGCTATTGCTTCTTCTGTTGAAGCTGCAAAATCAGAGGTTTGTTTCTTGCGTTGTTTACACCAGTTAAAGTGCATTTCTAGTGATTATACGACTCAACATAGAATGTTTGCTTCCAGATATTCATCACTGGCTGGTGGCTTTGCCCAGAACTGTATCTAAGACGTCCTTTTCAGAGTAATTCATCTTCTCGGCTTGATGCATTACTATATGAAAAGGCTAGGCAAGGAGTTCAGGTGCAAACATTCATTCTCTCTCGTTCTTGGTATTTACTTGTTTTAGTTAGGTGGTAATTTGACATTTATGTCTGGGATCATTAACTCCACTAATGATTTATATGCAGATTTACATTCTTCTCTACAAGGAGGTTGCTCTTGCTTTAAAGATCAACAGTTCGTACAGTAAGAAATTGCTTTCTAACATTCATGAGAATGTGAGAGTATTGCGCTATCCTGACCGTTTTCCCACAGGCATTTATTTGTGGTATGCTCTTTCTGGATTGATTCATCTTAGTTATTTTATCTCATGTCAAGATTGAATTAAAAAACTCTCCAAGTTTATTTGATTAACTTGCTTTTGGTTGGCTTTCATGATAATGCTCCATAAATTATCTACGAAAACGTACAGGTCACATCATGAAAAACTTGTCATTGTTGATTACCAGATTTGCTTCATTGGAGGACTAGATTTGTGCTTCGGCCGCTATGACACAGTTGAACACAAAGTGGGTGACTGCCCTGCTCATATATGGCCAGGAAAGGACTACTATAATCCAAGGTATTTCTCTGTTTTTTTTCTAGAAAAATTATCAGTATAGTTTTCTAGACCAAAGGGGATATCAAATATGTCATTGTCGCTTCATTCAGAGAATCTGAACCAAATTCTTGGGAAGACACAATGAAAGATGAATTGGAGCGTGAAAGATTTCCGCGTATGCCATGGCATGATGTCCAATGTGCCCTTTGGGGACCTCCTTGTCGTGACATTGCCAGGCACTTTGTTCAGCGCTGGAACCATGCTAAGGTTGATTTTCTGCTACTGCTGGTCTTGTGGAGACATTTTCTATTTTAAGAAAGTAAATTTGCTAACTTAATGAACCATCTTGTAGAGAAACAAAGCTCCAAATGAACAAACCATTCCACTACTTATGCCTCAACACCACATGGTCATCCCTCATTACATGGGAAGAAGTAGAGAGATAGACGTTGAAAAGAAAAACAAAGAAGAAACCCCGAACTCCTTTTCTCCGCTATCACCGCTGCAGGATATTCCATTGCTTTTGCCTCAAGAAGCTGATGGTTTAGATGCTCCTATTGTAGACAAAAAGCCAAGCGCCCTGGACTTGAACCATAATCTTCTTGACCAGCCAACCGATGGTTTATACACAGATTTGCAGATGGAAGGTTTTGTAGATGACCTTCATTCTATTGATCTCAAAAGTGAAACAAATTTAAATATGGTGGCACAATCTGGCTCGACAACTTCAAATGAAGGGTTGGAAAGTCCAGAGGAACATGATCATGCTGTTGCTGCTGATGATTCTGCACAAATAGGTCCTCGTACTGCATGCCATTGTCAGGTTAAGGCTGTCTCTTGGATACCTTGAATTTAGTTTTCTAAAATTTCAAGATTTACCAAGTGTTTATATAGTTCTACTAATAAATATGCAATGTTTAGGTTGTCAGAAGTGTGAGCCAGTGGTCTGCTGGATCTAGTCAGGCTGAAGATAGCATACACAAAGCTTATTGTTCTCTCATTGAGAAAGCAGAACATTTTGTCTATATTGAGGTTTCAGTGTTGCCTCTGGAGCATTCTGATTTTATAGTAATCATATAACATCCTGCTTTGAAAAACGTGCCTCTAGTCACCTAGATGCTGTTCGAAGTACTGATTTTTGGTGCTTACGCTGATCGTTTTGCTATTTCGTTTGCTGTTTGCTTCCAGAATCAATTCTTCATATCAGGTCTTTCAGGGGATGAGATTATACAGAATCGTGTCCTGGAAGCGTTGTACAGGCGTATTAAGCTAGCACACAAGGAACAAAAGTGTTTTAGGGTGATCATTGTCATACCACTCTTACCTGGCTTTCAGGTACCCATTGGTTTATTTTCTTAATTTTATCAAGCATGTCCTTTTGCTGTGAATTTTGGTAACAGTGTTTTCCTTTTCTTTTAATAATGGATAACACATAATAGGGTGGTGTGCACGATGGTGGTGCAGCTACTGTTAGAGCCCTAATGCATTGGCAGTATCGAACTATTAGCTGGGAAAAACATTCAATACTGCATAATCTAAAAGTTTTGCTTGGTCCTAAGACACATGATTACATTTCTTTCTATGGTCTGAGGTCATATGGCAGACTTTTCGAAGGTGGTCCTGTGTCCACAAGTCAGGTACTTTTCTGCATTAAAATGACCTTCAATTTTGGCCCATGAAACCTTCACTTGTTTTTATCATCTATTCTCCTTGTTATTCAGGTTTATGTACACAGCAAAGTGATGATAATAGATGATTGTGTTGCCTTGATCGGATCGTCTAATATTAACGACAGAAGTCTGCTTGGATCAAGAGACTCTGAGGTATAATGTCTCTTTTTTAAGCAATAAGCTTTTCAGCATGTTTAATGCATTTCGTTGGTTCTTTTTCGAGGCACTTCTACTTTATAGTTGTACTTAGATAATTGTAGTTTTCCTGAAGTTTGGATAAAAAGAAATCCTGCAGACGCATTACCAGTGGACTCTGTTATATATTTGTTGCAGATTGGTGTAGTAATTGAAGATAAAGAGTTTCTTGAATCATCTATGAATGGACAGCCTTGGAAGGCCGGAAAATTTGCTTATAGTCTTAGGTGCTCTCTGTGGTCTGAGCACCTGGGTCTTCATGCAGGGGAGGTATTCTTTGCTTGCTTCTTTTCACTTTTGACGGAAAGTAGGAAAAACTTAAAGAGCCTGCCTCTGGATACAAATTCAGGGTCATTTTTTTCACTAATTTTTCTTTAATGATTCATCTACATCTTCCTCAGTTAAATATTTAATATTAACATTGTTTTGTTGAATCTGAATTCCTTCAGATAAATCAAATCAGTGATCCTGTGTCAGACACAACATACAAAGATCTGTGGTTAGCAACTGCAAAGGTGATGAAAGTTTGCAATTTCGATCACTATTTCATGTTTCTCACGGTTAGCCTTTTTTTTCTTTTCATCTCTTCTCCCTTACTTAATTACAGTATCTCTAATATTTTACAGGAAAATTCAATTATTTACCAAGATGTCTTTTCTTGTATTCCGAATGATTCTATACACTCAAGGTACAATACTACTCAAGGTTTTGTATTTTTGTTTTTTTGCTCTATGCTCTCTTAAAATCTCTATCTTTGCCATCAACTACAGAGCTGCTCTCAGACAATGCATGGCTCATCAGAAAGAGAAACTTGGGCACACCACAATTGATTTGGGGATAGCCCCTGAGAAGATACAGTCCTGTGAGAATGGAGAGGTGAAAGAAACAGATCCAATGGAAAAATTGAAGCATGTAAGGGGACATCTTGTTTCCTTCCCTTTAGAGTTTATGCAACAAGAAGATTTGAGACCAGTGTTCAATGAAAGTGAATTTTATACATCCCCTCAAGTTTTTCGTTAGGTATGATTCCATTAAGGCCAGGAGGCACAAGAAAAAAAATGTAAAAATAGATGTATATAAATAGTACATAATTCCATTTGTTTACATTCAATTGTACATAATTCCACTCAAAGATTGAGAGATTTATTAGCAATAGAGAAGCACCAATGCTGACCAAATTCATAGTTATTTAGAATACGTTGGCGTTGATGGATTTACCGTGCAGGACTGATTGCTATAGTTGTAAATATGTTACAATTTTTTTTTTCTTTTTTTCTATTATGAATCATTTTATAAGTAAATGAAGAAAATACCAGTCAATGATTTTCATTGAAAGCATTATCACCGGCATAATAATAACTACACTTCTCTTCCTTCGGGTTGAAAACCCATCATGTTTAGAACTCAAGCTTTGGAACAGATACTAAATGACTGGATATAAGAAAAACTGTTAAACTGTATACATAATTCTACCTCATAGCATTTGCTACATAGTCTATTCAAACTGAGTCAAGTGCTTTAGTTTTGTGGAGTTTTGTATTCAGGTCTCAGTCTACCGTCTACCGGTTGCATAGGTCCTCAAAGAAGGGGACTGTGTGAGACCATCAGGAGCAACTGTTGTATTTTGGTTTCCATTCTTCTGTTGCATTCTTCTCCTCGCCATGTAGCCTCTAATCCACGGCGTCACATCCTCACTGAACTTGATCATGATAAAGAAGATAATCCGGTAGACGACAATCATGCTCAAGATGACACTGAGGTCTATCCATTTTGATCTGCTGGTGTCAATCTGGAACACATTTTCCAGAATGTACTCACCAGGTATCTTAGGAAGATCTGGTGACTGGTTGTCGAAAACTAAGCCGCTCAGGTCATTCTGATATTGCCCCTGAAGGTGAAACATGTTTCATATTCATCAATTTTTGTGTGCCTTATTTCATCGATGAGTAATTCTTAAATAGCAACTGTTGAAAGGGTTTTACCTGTAAAGCCCAGAAGTGGAAGCTGATGTATGACATAGGGTAACGCCAGACGGGCTTTGGGATGTCATTTGGGAGCCTGAAGTACCCAGAGACTAGCATGAAGATACCCTGACATGCGAAGAAAACCATACAATTCATCAATCATATATACAAGACATGAAAATGGCTAAAGTACTGATGTACTATCAAGCAGTGGATGAGTCTTCTGTGATACAAACCTGAATTCCAGCCCCTATGATAATGCCCATGAGGAAGTTGGGGACGATACTGGCTATGGCCATCATCAAGCTCTCAACTACAGTGACACTTGCATAAAGGCAGAGCACAAAGAATAGATAATGCTCGAAGCCCGGGTGGAGACGGACCATGTAGTAACAAACTGTTCCCGCTAGAAAGGTGATCAGTATCAGGAATGGCATTGCTGAGAGTGTGTTACTGATGACAAATGCAGTAACACCATAGTGGCCATTCAGCCTCTCTCTTTGGAAAACCTGGGAAAGTTGTGGTACAAAGTTAGACTAAATATAATTTGAAGTAAGCATTTAGAGCTATTTTGTTCCTTGGAACTATGGAACATACCTTCATATCCTCTACGAATGAAGGAAACCCACCGATTGACATGAATGTGACGAAACCAAATACAAAAGATGCACATGAACCCCTTGCCTATTTCATAAAATAAAACAGAGAGAAAAAGTGTTAGTGCATGAATGAACTTCCAAATAGATGGTACTAATTAGCAAGCAATACATACCAGAATCGAACTGTAACCCGTTCCCACATTCAAATAGATGGTTCCAATACAGATTGTGACAACAATGTAAATAACGAGCCTGAGCCAGTAATAGCCAAAGTCCCTTGACATGTTGATAAATGAACGCTTGGACAATGTGAAGGCCTGCATCAAGAAACTAGCCTGACTTCCTCCAGAATCTAGCACAGTTCCTTTCTGCATCATATGGGAAAAAAAATTCATATTGTTGTTAAACTCCTTTACCAATAAGTAATTGGATAAATGAAGAATTATTTAATACATCCCACTTTATATAAACACTTACAACTTTGGATATCTCTTCAACTTTTTCTCTAGCTGCATAAGAGTATTGAGAAGTACGATAGGAGTCTATAAGAACTCTTATAGCTTCAGCGGTGGTAATCTTCTCCAGAGGATCATCACTTGCCTCAAACTGATAATGACAAAAGACAAGTTTTGGATTTTATCAGAGTTCAAATTTACTGCTTCAAAGTGCAAAAAGAGGACGGCAAAAACAAATTTGTTCCTTTAAAGTTTTAAGGATTTCCCTTCATAGGAGTAGTATGATTATTACTTTATCATAGGATGGACGATATGTATGAAGGTATAACCACTATCAATTGTTTAACAATAACATTTGAAGTTACATAACAAAGAGATATAAAAGAAAAAGTTTCTAAACATACCCTGAGTTTCATGGACCCTTTCAATGTGGCCTTTACTTTATCGAAGTCAGAGTTTACGCATCTAAGAAAATGATCAGAAGGGTTCCTCAAAGCCGGGCAGGGAAATCCAGCTTGTGCAAAGAACTGAAAACACCAATCAATGAACGTAAGAGCTCCATTACATTTACATAAAATCAACTAATATATGTATATAAGGCAAAGACTAAGGGTTCTTGCCTCGTATGCATCCGACGCCTGACCAAAATAAACAGTTTTGCCACTAGAAAGCAAGTACAATTGATCAAATAGTTCAAAGACTTCACTACTTGGCTGGTGAATTGAGGCTATGACAGTCCTTCCGTCTCGTGCTAGGGCACGTAGTGTCTGAGTCACGAAAAATGCCGAAGCACTGCCACAAAAAAACCAAATGATCATTAAGAATCAACCCTACAACAGAATAATGCAGGGTACTGGAAACCAATTAACTAGAAGTCATACATTTTTTTTAATAGAAGTGGAGGTTAAACTCACAAGAATATTCAATTTCAATAACCACATATACCAGACAGAATGAAAACAAGACCACATATACCTATCAAGTCCACTGGTTGGCTCATCAAGGAAGAGCAGTCTAGGCCTCGTCAAGATTTCAAGAGCAATGCTGACCCTTCTCTTCTCTCCCCCACTGATCCCACGCAAATGCCAGTTTCCAATAACTGTGTCTGCGCAATCCTGCAAACCCATCTCTATGATTGTGCTCTCAATCAGCGCTCTCTTTTCTGACCAAGACATCTTATCGGGCAGCCTTAATCTAGCTGAATACGAAATGGTTTCTCGTACCGTTAAGGTTCCAATCAAATTGTCATCTTGGGTCACATAGGCCTAATTAATTTGCAAAACATCCATACAAACAACATCAATATGTTACATGTACAATTATAGCCTGCCTACCTAGCTTGATCAAACATAATACTAAGTTGAAATAAACAATCCCAAAATCAAGTGAACAAAATGGTGATGAGCACAATTCACAGAAAAACATAATTAAAAACAAACAAAGAAACAGAGATTATTACTCACAGCAGTGCCAAAAGAGAGCTTTCTTTTGCGGCCATTGAGGAGGATGGTGCCAGAGAGGAAAGCATTGGCCGCCAAGCGACTAGAGAGAGCATCAAGTAAAGTTGATTTGCCAGAACCAGAAGGACCCATGAGAGCTGTGAAGGTTCCGGGCTCAGCATAACCAGTTAGACCCTCCAACACCTTCTGTGTCTCGCCGTTGCTCAGAGTCACCGTCACCGTCAGATCCTTCCAAGTAAGCCTGGCAGAAACATCCCCTACAATTTCAAGACTGGCCTTCTCCCTCCACAAAGTCTCACTCAGAGGGCTCAACCCACCAACTACAACCCCATTCCCTGAGGGTTTGCTTGCCTCTATCTCCATTATAGAATGACCTGCTGCTGAGTTCCTTGTTTTCTCTGTTTCATGTGCCATTGTTAATTTGTAGCAAGCTAGCTTAGCTTAGCTTAGCTTAGCTAGCTTGAAACGAACCAATTAGTCCTTCAAAAAATAGAGGTACTGAAGCAATGAATTCTGATATTACGAACAACCCATAAGAGCTTGCTGCTTATGTTTAAGAAGGAAGATGAGGAAACAAAGATGTGAATGAAGAAATGAGAGTTGTATGAGTTTGACTGACAGGTTGCAAAGAAGAGAAATTTCCCATGCAAAAAGAGCCTCAAGCAAGGGACTTTAACTAACTGGAATCTTTTGGTCTCACAATAAAATTATTTCCTGCTTTCCATTTCTGCAAGAGAGTTTGAATCTGAAACAAACCCAAATTCCAACATGAAGCAAGAATGATGATATAGAGAGAACATGATCTATAGTTCTATACAGCTATCTTCTATCCAACAATTAATGGGTTTTGGTAGATATGTTGGTAGGAGCATTTAATACATTAACTAATACCAGAACCGACCCTTATATTAACATTTGGCACATTTCTTCTCTCATAACTTTTTTTTTTTTGTGCATGGAAAATAATCGTGCGCATTGGAAAGGAAACAATGAACATTCAACTTAACAAAACAAGTGGGTTAACGTAGGCATGGGCATATGTGATGATGCGAATGTCAATTTCACCGCCCTATTGGTGCTGTGTATTTTTTTTTGGTTTATCGCTTACAAGTCACAAGCTTTAATGAGTATATCAACTCATTCAGCTGTCAACTACCTAAAGAGCTCGTCATGGGCACCCCTATTTTGAACCTCTTCGACCCCATTCAATTCAATTCAATTCAAAGTTTGCTATTCCAATTCCAAACTACTTCAGTGGTTGGGGGACCCGGGCTTAATTCCTTGTCCTGATTATTTGGCTCTCAAACTTTTCTTGATTTTTCCTTTTGACTTTCTAGCCACACTTTTTGACTCTTTTCTAATGCTGTTAGGGAAATTTTGGAATGTCCGAAGATGATGTTAGTTTTTCTCAGTAACAATTTCTTGTGAGGTACCATTTTAATGTCATAAAGTTATAGGAATTTGGAACTACTAGGAAGTAGGAACTATGGCAAAAAAGCCGAACGAAGTTCACAATTTCAATTACAGATGGGCCAACCAAAACCCAATCCTTGGGCCCTTATAGAGTGATTTGGGCTAGGTGTGTTTACTTTAAAAGCCCGAAGGCAGACAAGGCAGGTACCATGTTCGAATAATCTTTTGTTTCCATGTGTTCATTAGCCTCCTCTTATACAGAGAGCGAGGAAAGCCTCCGTCTTTGAAATCATACGCGGATAAATTTAAGGTACGTGAAGTAGATATCAGGTTCTTGCTATCACCAAAAGTTTCAATTTTTGTAGTAAATTTTTAAATTTGGGTATGTGGGTATGCTTAGTTTGCTAATTTCTATCATTCTATAACTGCATTTTATGTTTATGTCAATTGGGTGAATGGATTGAAGGAGAATCATGAGTCTTCATCTGCTTTAGTTTGAATTGTGAATTTTAGAGATGGGTTTTCTGCTAAGTTGTCCTTGCCGTCATGATTTTTTTCCCCTGAATTGTGCATTATAACTCATTTGAGAGTTTGGGGCATTGATTCTCAGTTTGTTACACTTGAAGTTGTAAGATGTGGGCATCGTTTCAATTTTTTTGTTCTGTATTGGGTGGTTGGTTTGAACTTTGAAGTGCAAATTTATGCTTTCTGCTCTTGTTCGAAAAATCGGCCTAGGCGGAGTCTAGTCGGAGTCTAGGCGCTAGGGGGCCGCCTAGGCGGAGTCTAGGAGCTAGGCGGAGTCTAGCCGCTAGGCGGCGCCTAGGAGCTAGGGGGAGGACACCGCTGCGATTTCACCATAATCCTTATGGTTAGGCGCCTGGACGGGTCGGGTGGCTGCTTCTTTACTCTTCTCGACCCAACCAGTGGCAGCGACGGTTTCTTCTCTACTCGTCAGAGGTATCTTTGAATTTTTCTTCTTTTCTTTGTAGCAGCTGCTGGGCTCATATTATTTCAAAGGCGCGCAAGAGGAGATGATGGAGGCAGAGAAAGAGGAGAGACGATGGAGGTAGAGAGAGATGGGAGGTGATGGAGGCAGAGAGAAGAGAGATAAGTGAGGATAGGGTTCGTCCAAAAAAAGGTGAAGATAGAGTTTTTTGCTCACCACTTTAACCATAGGTGTACCCTCACCACCATCCTCAATGCTTGACACGTGTCCATAGGAGTAATCATGATTCCATAAATACAAAGCAAAAGTTAACTATGGTTATGTCTATGGACACGTGTCAAGCATTGAGGATGGTGGTGAGGGTACATCTATGGTTAAAGTGGTGAGCAAAAATGCACCCTTTTATTTCAACCCTTTACTTTATATCAAGTCATATATCATATGACTCACATATATACATTTTTTTATTAATTTTGGTATTAATTTATAATTTATAATTCAAAATAATTATATAAAAAAAAGAAACGCCTAGTCCCGATTACTCCTCTAGGTGTTAGGCCCTAGCAATTCTTCGGACATTTTAGTATGAAGTGTAAATTGTAAAATATTAGAATTAGGAATTAGCACTCCTTTTCCCCCTATGTTGAGTTCTTTTGATAGGTTGTTAAATTGTTAAAAGGTCCAAGTTATAGTTCAAATGGCAAGTCCTTACTGGGTTTCAAAACACTGCCTCACTAATTTATTGTAATAAATCTCTCTGTGTGACTGAGATTGCACTAGACATATTCCTTGCTATCACATTCATTTTAGTACTTTTTGGTAATTAATTGCATGCAGTCCTCAAATTCCAGGAGAGATTTGGATGCTTTTTTAGGGTGTGAGAGTTTACCTGATGGCATCATCTGAAATAAAATCTGGGGCATTGGTTTCATTGCAAGACCTAAATCCATCTTCCCCTTATTTCAAGCAAGGGGCTTCGTTGAGACTAACTGGAAAGTAAGACTTCTGCCCTTTCAATGCTTAGTGGTTTCATTCAATTGCATTATATAAAATATCCAGTCTTTCGTCTTCTACTTACGTTTCAGTAGGGTACAAGTAGTCTATGGTTTAGGCTGGCATTGTTGGTCTTGGTGACAGTGTTGGCATCATAAATGGTTAAGACTGGTGGAGACGAGTGGTAGAAAGAAAGATGAACTAGAGGTGGAATTGCTGATACATACATTGGAGATGTGATAGTTTCAGCATTTCGGGTTCTGTCACAGTATTTCTCGAAACGATTGTGGTCTGGTTTTGGTTCAGTGAGAATATCATGATCATGGTATAGTGTGGGAGTGGATGCAGAACTGGCCAAAAAGATCTTCTGGAGGCAAATGTGGCATCTCCAGTTGGTGGCATTGAGGATGATGGCTATGGCACATTGGTAGCATGATGTGGATGGAGTGAGTGTAATGATTGGAAACATGTCACTAAATACAAAAAATAATTGGGAATAGGTCAACTGATTCAAATAATTGTGGATTGTCTTACACAAGAGGGCTGGATGATTGCTTCATTGAATTTAATTGCATTTCTCATATTTATTCCCCAATATCATTCAGAAGCTTAGTCATTAGCATCTCTTGTTTCTTTCTCAGGTTACAAGGGTATTCTGTAGAGACAGCCATTGCCACAATTGTTGATGGAAGTGACAGCTTAAAAATCAACACCCAACACCTCAGGGAGCTTAGCTTTCGAGTCGGATCCATCTACCAGTTCATCAGCGAGCTGCTTATTCAACCCGATAATGAGGTAAGTGGCAAATCACATCCACTTGATGATTTTCTGTGCTGGTCTTCATCACAGCACATGAATGTTAATAATGTTAGAGCAATAAGCTCAGTTGTTCTTGCTCTTTTTTTCAGGCAGTCTTGCAGGCACGTGTGGGTAGGAATGTTGATGGCATTGATCTCAATCTCTATTATCAGTCTCTGCAATTGTTGAGACAATTGAAGAACCCATCAACTTAAATATTGTAATTTTCCCATGGTCGACTTAAATATTGTAATTTTCAATTCAATTTAAAGACCAAATTACCATCTCCATCAAACAATGCAAAATGAAATCGTAATGGCAAAAGGGTCAAAGCAAATAGCCCAATGATCACCTCATAATTGAAACCAAACGAATATATTTGTAATTGGGCCCTTAGATTTTTCATGAACTTTTTGGGTAGGCCCAAGTCCTCACCTGCCGTTAACGTTTTCGCTGGAAGCCTGTACGTCATTGTCGGGTTCGCCGACCCACACCTGATTGTTGGCTCTTACGTGTCAGCAGCTGGTTGGTAAGAATATACGCGGTGCTGGACCCACCTAGTCGCTGCTCCTTTGCACCGCCCTCATCATGTGCGCCAACGGTGCGGAGCACTGGATACGTGGATTCAAAGTATCACGTGTAGAATAGCAGGAGAAAGTGATAATCCCGTGTCTCATGCTCCCACCCAAAAGCCTATGCACTCGCAGAATGAAAATATCTCCTCTTCTTTTCTTTATCTTTTTAGGGTTTGCTTCTTCAATTAACCACTATTGTTGTTCTAATAATTTTGGTAAAACAATAGTCTGAAATTTTAACAATATTCCTTTTTTATATATATAAAAGCTATAATTTAGAGTATTTTAAATTAATCTAATTTGTATTAGGGAATTCGAACTTTACAAGGTAGGCTCGCTACTTAGGTTAATTGGTTAAAAAAAATCGAACTTTACAAGGTAGGCTCGCTACTTAGGTTAATTGGTTAAATTTTTTTCCAACACAAGTGATAGTCTAAATTATAAGGAGATGAGGTTTCTTACACACACAACAAGAGAATTATGGTGTTCGAATCTAAAACCATTGGTTTGAAAATTAGAGCTCTTTTTCACTAGATTAAAGACTCTCAGCGGTGGTTAACTGACCTAACTTAAGTCTATAAAATAATTACCCTTTTTAAAATTGAGAATTAGGTGTGGCCGACGCTACGTTGGTAATGCCCTGCCACATTGGGGATTGGGCCACTTAGCAAAGCTGATTTGATACTGTAAAAAGTTGTCACCAAATATACACCAAGAATTTTTCCATGGTGGAGATGAGACTAGAGAAGAGATTTATCCAAGACCATGAATCTACTTGTACCGACATTATTATGGGAATCCACTATTTCAGTGAAAAGAGGACCAGATAATATTGACGGAAAGAAGCAAAATGGTCAAATGGCCCTAGAATTTTAGGGAGGAAGTAGGACCCTCCTATAATAATGATTTTTCCTTGAGGTCCAACACTTATGTGCAAACTAACGGGTCTTTTACTCTTCAGCTTTTGGAAGGAAAATGATAGATTTGCCCTGCTAGATTATGTGGGCTTAGGTGAGATGCACTATAATATTATTTACTATTATCTTTTTGCAACTTTTTCTCTTTTTTGGTAATCTTATGATTGATAATGCTATCCATTCACATTTTAATATGTTTGTTTGAGTTGAAATTATGTGTTTGGTTTTTTTACTCTCTATTTAGGGGTGGTTACGATCTAGACTGGATCGGTTCCACCTCAAAATCACAGCCGAATCAAGTATATATGTATTTTGATTGTTTGTGTATATAGCTCCTCCTCGTATATTGAAATGTAGGGTTCTCTTTTTATTTAAACTTTTTTGTTGGAATTTATCTGGTTTTATAAATCAAATATACATTTCAATTTTTTGTTCAATGATTGCTAAAGTTACTACGATGTTTTCTACCTTATTAATCAGAGAATATATGTAAATAATTTAAACTCAAAGATCAGCTCCATGTATCATGTTAGTTTTCAAGTAAATTACCACATCATTAGTCTCTTAACCATTTAAGCACAGTAATTGTATATTCTAATTGTTGTTTTTACTGTGAATGATCTTCGTGGAATTATTATTTAAATAAAAATTAGAGGGAGGTCTCGTAATTATTTTAACAATTAATTACGTAAAGTAAAATATCGATATTACGTGTTTGGTAGCTTAGTTGGTTACAATAAAATAACCATGTTCCATGACCAGCTAACCAACCACTAATTCTTGTATATAATATGGGATTTATTTTGATAAAAAAAAAGTTATGGGATTTATAATAAATTTACTAAAATGATTACGGCGGTTTAGCAATTTTTAATCCATTTGTGTTCGTCCATGGCAGCCGCAGCTGGCCAAGATAAAGCCATGTGTACGGTCGACGACCCTTGGGAGCATTGGGTTGATAGAGATAAACAGATTCCATACTATAAAATTAGCATCGACCGTTGGCTTTTATTTTTCTGTGATTCTTTAATAGCATGTATGGTGTGACATTCCATTAATTTATTATTCAATTCAATTTTGCCTACACAACAAAATGTTATTTTCTTTTCAATAATTGTGATAATAGTTTTATATAAACCAAGCATGCAATGTTTTACGAATGTGACATATTCATATACTTGTCTTTTGTAAATTGTATTAGTTTAAAGCCGCTTATTTGGAGCTGAATGAGTCTACAGTTAACTTTGATTTAGTTTAAATATTTTCCTTATTTTATAAGGAATTTGTAGCTCAAGTGATTATAAACAGTTATTCTTGCACCCGAACTCCCTTTTTAAAATCCGCCTCCCCCAATCTCGTTTTTCTAGGTTTTCGTTTAGGCTACTTGCTAGAAATAGAAAATATTAAATATCACGGCCTAATTTCTACATCATAAATATAGAAGAAAAAAAATTCCACAATATTGTAGCTACAAATTGTTGACCCAATACGAACTTGACTGCACATGTGAACAATGTATTTACACAAACAAATACGTAGAAATTAACAGAGTTATCTGCATGAGTATATAAATAGGAATAAAAAAGAAAGCCTCTTGAGCTGAAAAAGCTAAAGCCTTTTTGGTTTACATCTTTTAACTGTGGCGCACACACAGGGTTTTAACATTTCATGACGTCCAGTTTGTGATTTGCTTTGAGTGTTTTGTGTATTATTGTTTGTATGCACAGCAAGCTCTGTGCTTTGTTTTCTTCTCCTCATCAGATAAATATCACTTCACCTTCGCCATTACCAAACAAAAACACAAACACATATACACACACACACACACACACACACGAGAGGAGAGACAGGCAGGGTGTTATGGATTCTGATCCATCTCTAACTTCACTTCCTCAAGGTCTCAGCTGGGCTCGTCGGAATTGCCACCCGTTCCGATCGGTGAAACCAGTTTTCCGGCTGCTGCCTGAGGTTCCGGCTTTCTAGCTTCTGATTTTTCTGGTCAAACTTAGCTGGATTGGATTATCAAGGTTTTACTTTTACGTCTACTTTGGTTGGTTTTTTTTGTTGGTTTATGTTTTTTGGTTGCTGAGAAATGAAAGAAAAGTTTGTTTTTTTCGGTAGCGGAGAAGTTCAAGTTGAATTCTTTTCGTTTCCTTTATGAAAGTTCCTGTTTGGGTTTTGTTTGGTAACTGAGAAAATTGGGATGGAAAAGAAAGGTGAAGCCCAACTTTGTTTTTGTTTTGGTTATCTTTAATGGTTTTTTTCATCTGGGTTTTCTTAGATTGCAGTAAGTTTTTTGGGCAAGGGGTTAAAAAGTTTCAAAAAGCAGAGCTTTTGCCCTTTATAGAAGCCAAGAAAATGGAGGAAAGGTGAAAGAAAGAATTGATTTACTTTTGCCAAGTTTAGACAAGTCTTTGTAGTTACTAGAAAAGATTAATATGTTCTCAATTTTTTCTTTTTAATGCCAAAACCAGAGTTTTACAGAAAACATACAAAACCAAAATACCTACCTATCTCCCCTCCTTTTACCGGATCTGGGTGGCCAAACTATTAATTAATAGAATAGCATTCAAACTGTTTAGGGACATGGGTTCTTCCATTTAAACATTACAAAGAAAACTCTGAATCCAACGGTGGAATTCCACGCAAGCATGAACATTCTCTGTAATCTCTTCACCATTCAATGTCTTTGTATGTATATCATATTAAATTCAAAGATTCTTACCTTTCTGAGTCAGATCATGTCCTTTTGTCAGTCACCGTACTATCACTCAAGTCAAGTTGCCTTAAACTTCTGTCAGTTCTCAGAGAAGAAAGTTAAATAAAATGGGATTGAAAACTAACAAATGCGTCAAGCATTTTCTTGGCCTTGTGCCTGTTCTTTCCAAGATCCAAAAGGACTGTTATGTGATGTTTATAAATGTTCAACATTGTTCAGATTTTTTGAGTCTACAACCACAATTTGGTGGCCTGGAAAAGTGGAATTGAATAGCTTGCTAGCATAGGCACAGCTAATGGGGCACTTCTCCTCCATGTTCAGTGGACTGGCGAGGTCGCTATCAATCAAGAAAGGGAAAAATAACCATGGAAATTCTGATGCAAGAGATGCTGCGGAAGCAATGGCGAAGGAGGCGAAGAAGAATGACATGATACTGCGCTCTTCCGGGATTGTCAATGTTGATGGTTCAAACAATTTTGCTTCAGTTTTCTCAAAGAGAGGCCAGAAAGGAGTGAACCAGGACTGCTGTATTGTGTGGGAGGTAAGCAAAGGTTGCTAATTTTCTTGTTGCCAATTTAGAACTAGTAGGAAATTGGATATAAGACAAAATTAAATTTCTGGATCAGCTACATGGTGTTTGTTCTGTATTGATGTATGTGAATGTTGTTTGTTTTGGTTTTAGGAATTTGGGTGCCAAGAGGACATGATGTTTTGTGGAATATTTGACGGGCATGGTCCATGGGGACATTTTGTGGCAAAAAGGATCAGAGAAACAATGCCACTCTCTTTGTTGTGTAGTTGGCAAGAGACACTAGCTCAAACTTCCCTCGATCCAGATTTGGACTTGGAATTGGATAAAAAAGGTCACCGGTTTAATATATGGAAGCATTCCTATATCAAAACTTGTGCTGCTATTGATCAGGAGCTTGAGCGGCATCGTAGAATCGATTCCTTTTACAGCGGAACAACTGCCCTCTCTATTGTCAGACAGGTACTAATTTGTCATTGGAATATGTAGAGCAAATATAAACTGTTTCTAAGTTGTTTACTTAAGTTCTTATTAAGCTATTAACTTACTAGGTGAAGAAACTAGTTGCTGTAATGAGCCTTGACTCAGAAACTAGTTCTAATTTTTTTTAGGCTTTGTATGAGTTTGTGCAATTTTGAACAGTATTAACATGAATGTACATCCTAAATTTTGTTTGTGTAGGGTGATCTCATTTTTATAGCAAATGTTGGCGATTCTCGTGCTGTTTTGGCTACCACTTCAGAAGATGGAAGCTTAGTGCCAGTTCAGCTTACTGTTGATTTCAAGCCCAGTTTACCTCGTGAGTCTCTAATCTATATGATCTCTCTCTCAACACACAAATGGAGAAAATAACATATGGTCACACATTTTGACTTTTTTTGTTTCAATTTCTTTGTTTGCAGAGGAGGCGGAGCGAATAATTCAAAGCAACGGGCGAGTGTTCTGCTTAGATGATGAACCAGGGGTGCAAAGGGTGTGGCAGCCAGATGGAGAAACACCAGGACTAGCAATGTCTAGAGCCTTTGGAGATTACTGTGTGAAGGGCTTTGGGCTCATTTCTGTGCCTGAAGTGACACAGAGAAATATAACAAGCAGAGATCAATTTGTTGTGTTGGCAACTGATGGGGTATGCACATTACTCTTGTAATGAAACTTTTCAAAATTGAAAAACAAAACAGGAATTTGCAATATTTCAAAAAGGGTACTTAAAGTTGTGATTAAAACTTGTTTTTTATATTTTTACTTGTAGGTTTGGGATGTTGTTTCAAATCAAGAAGCAGTGCAGATTGTAGGTTCAACAGCAGACAGAGCAAAGTCTGCTAAGCGTCTGGTGGAGTGTGCTGTGAATGCATGGAAGCGCAAGAGGAGGGGAATAGCAATGGATGACATTTCAGCCATTTGCCTCTTCTTTCATTCTTCCCCTTTGTCTGACCCTCAGCAAGTTCACCCAATCAGTATTGCCACACCAAAATAGCTTGCAGAAATCTTGCTCCTCCTTCTCCTTGTTTATCATGTAACTTTGTAGTAGTTTGATTTTGGTTAGATGTTTGATTAGGAAGTTAGTCAAGCAAAAATCTTGGTTCAGATTTCAATCAACAGCTAGATGCTTCTATAGTTGTATGCCCAATTAAGTTTCAAGATACATAGGCTTCCTATGGTAGGTATGTCCAGTGATGTCCTTATCCTACTTATGGAATGTAAACGAATGATCGGAAACGTTCAGTTGTGTAGGTTCTGTTTCGAGGATTATTCACGGAAAAAATCAGCTAAATTGGAAATTATTTAATTATGCACGTTTCTTTTCTTCAGTTTTATCTAACTACCTGTGTTTTTTTCATGTTTTAAATGACCAAATATCTTTGCACTTGGACAATTTTTCCGAAGATAACCTAAAATAGACAATTTTTATGAGAATGTGTGCATTTTGTACATCCTTAATATAGAAATATTTCAAGATACATATCCCAATTCGAGTACTAAATTTAAGTATCTCATTCACATCTCATGTGACACATCGAGGATGCGGTCAAATAAAAAAATTCGGAGTTTTATCACAGAATTTTAATTGCAGAGTTTCTGCAGATGTTACGACAACACATGAATGCTTATGGCATAGCATGTGGTGTTATATGATCATTCACACGGGGCTCTCGTCTTGGGCTGTTTTGGGCAGCATCCCATTGTTAGATGGAGGATCTGGTTGGGCTGCCTGGCCCAGAGACATAATGAGTCAGTTTCTGGTTGTTCAGATAGAATTCTGGAGTGTCCTTTTTGAAATAGAATACGACATTAACGAGTGTTGTCTGCAAAAAGGATCAGAGAAACAATGCCACCGTCTTTGTTGTGTAGCTGGCAAGAGACACTAGCTCAAACTTCCCTCGATCCAGATTTGGACTTGGAATTGGATAAAAAAGGTCACCGGTTTAATATATGGAAGCATTCCTATATCAAAACTTGTGCTGCTATTGATCAGGAGCTTGAGCGGCATCGTAGAATCGATTCCTTTTACAGCGGAACAACTGCCCTCTCTATTGTCAGACAGGTACTAATATGTCATTGGAATACGTAGAGCAAATATAAACTGTTTCTAAGTTGTTTACTTAAGTTCTTATTAAGCTATTAACTTACTAGGTGAAGAAACTAGTTGCTGTAATGAGCCTTGACTCAGAAACTAGTTCTAATTTTTTTTAGGCTTTGTATGAGTTTCTGCAATTTTGAACAGTATTAACATGAATGTACATCCTAAATTTTGTTTGTGTAGGGTGATCTCATTTTTATAGCAAATGTTGGCGATTCTCGTGCTGTTTTGGCTACCACTTCAGAAGATGGAAGCTTAGTGCCAGTTCAGCTTACTGTTGATTTCAAGCCCAGTTTACCTCGTGAGTCTCTAATCTATATGATCTCTCTCTCAACACACAAATGGAGAAAATAACATATGGTCACACATTTTGACTTTTTTTGTTTCAATTTCTTTGTTTGCAGAGGAGGCGGAGCGAATAATTCAAAGCAACGGGCGAGTGTTCTGCTTAGATGATGAACCAGGGGTGCAAAGGGTGTGGCAGCCAGATGGAGAAACACCAGGACTAGCAATGTCTAGAGCCTTTGGAGATTACTGTGTGAAGGGCTTTGGGCTCATTTCTGTGCCTGAAGTGACACAGAGAAATATAACAAGCAGAGATCAATTTGTTGTGTTGGCAACTGATGGGGTATGCACATTACTCTTGTAATGAAACTTTTCAAAATTGAAAAACAAAACAGGAATTTGCAATATTTCAAAAAGGGTACTTAAAGTTGTGATTAAAACTTGTTTTTTATATTTTTACTTGTAGGTTTGGGATGTTGTTTCAAATCAAGAAGCAGTGCAGATTGTAGGTTCAACAGCAGACAGAGCAAAGTCTGCTAAGCGTCTGGTGGAGTGTGCTGTGAATGCATGGAAGCGCAAGAGGAGGGGAATAGCAATGGATGACATTTCAGCCATTTGCCTCTTCTTTCATTCTTCCCCTTTGTCTGACCCTCAGCAAGTTCACCCAATCAGTATTGCCACACCAAAATAGCTTGCAGAAATCTTGCTCCTCCTTCTCCTTGTTTATCATGTAACTTTGTAGTAGTTTGATTTTGGTTAGATGTTTGATTAGGAAGTTAGTCAAGCAAAAATCTTGGTTCAGATTTCAATCAACAGCTAGATGCTTCTATAGTTGTATGCCCAATTAAGTTTCAAGATACATAGGCTTCCTATGGTAGGTATGTCCAATGATGTCCTTATCCTACTTATGGAACGTAAACAAATGATCCGAAACGTTCAGTTGTGTAAGTTCTGTTTCAAGGATTATTCACAGAAAAAATCAGCTAAATTGGAAATTATTTAATTATGCACGTTTCTTTTCTTCAGTTTTATCTAACTACCTGTGTTTCTTTCATGTTTTAAATGACCAAATATCTTTGCACTTGGACAATTTTTCCCGAAGATACCCTAAAATAGACAATTTTTATGAGAATGTGTGCATTTTGTACATCCTTAATATAGAAATATTTTGAAGATACATATCCCAATTCGAGGATGTGGTCAAATATAAAAATTCGGGGTTTTATCACAGAATTTTAATTGCAGAGTTTCTGCATATGTTACGAATTCACTCATATTGCAACACATGAAAGCTTATGGCATAGCATGTGGTGTTATATGATCATTCACACAGGGCTCTTGTCTTGGGCTGTTTTGGGCAGCATCCCATTCATAGATGGAGGATCTGGTTGGGCTGCCTGGCCCAGAGAGACATAATGAGTCAGTTTCTGGTTGTTCAGATAGAATTCTGGAGTGTCCTTTTTTAAATAGAATACGACATTAAGGAGTGTTGTCTTTATACGACGCGACGAGTCGTGACTCGTGCCGACACGGAAACAGTTTTCGACAGCAAGTGTATATATCGAGGGGCGAGCGAGTTCAAGAAACTCTCGTGTGTGAGGTAAGCAACCTCGTCCAGTCATGCTTCACCCAATAAACAAAAACCTTATCCAAAACTAAATCTCATTTGCGGAGAACTCCAACAATCAAAACCAATTAGCGCGAGAAACTGACGACTGACTCAAACAGTTACTTTCTAAACTTTTATTAGTTTTAAAAATTGAATGCCCAAACTCGAAAGCGACAGTACAAAAAGCAAACGAATGGTGTTCGACTGGACGTGTGTACCGAATATTCACTAGATTTGAATATGTGATTTCGAATCCGCGACATCCCACACGCAATGATAAGTTCATAAGCCGACTAAATAAGTCAGTGTACTTATCAATAAGTGGACATACTTATCACTGATAGGTCAGTAGAAAAGGAAAGACCCCTGTAAATGCATCGAAGGTAGCGACTCTCTCTCTGTGTCTCTGAACGCAGTCCCTCCCTGGAACCCTAGAAATCCTCGAACGGTGAGCTTCATAAATCTTAGAAATACCGATGAATTCTTGCGCTTTGAGGTTTCTCTGAACTCAGATTCGGAGCCTGAGTATGTGAACTTGCATGATTTTGGGTTCAAACGTTAATTATGTGTCTGTTTGTTTGTGCAGTTGAATTTGAAAGCTCTGTTATTTCTCTGTTTCGGAGAAGGAAAGGGAAGTTTGGGTTTGAAAATTGAGAGTCGAAAAATGTCGTCTTTGAGCAGAGAATTGGTGTTTCTCATACTCCAATTCCTGGAGGAGGAGAAGTTCAAAGAGTCCGTACACAGGTAAGCTAAGCTTCCCACCCTCTGTATTTATAATTGTACACGTATACGCGTAATTTATGTATGTATTTTTACATGCATGTACATAATACATACATGTATTTGTCAACCGGAGGTTGTTGTGTTGATTTTGGCTTTATGTGATGATTATGAGACTTAAATTATTTAAAGTTCATGTCTTTTCATTTTCATTGTTTTTAAACTTTAATTTTTAATGAAAGTTAGCCTATGTTTGGTTCTTGAGCGGTGATTATTTGGATTTAATTTTTCTATCCTAGCAAACTTTTTTAAGTTGTTAAAAAAATTGATAACTTCACGCCGAATGGACGCACTAGGCTGAATTGAGGTTCATTAAGGATCATGGGTTAAGACTTTGAAAACTGGAACAATATCTATGAGTAAATTTACCTGTTTTTCAATTTGAGCAAAATAGTAGCATTTGAGCTTAGTTGATTAATGAGGGTGATTTATTGGGGTCTAGAAACATAGATGCTTACAAATGAAATAATCTAAGGTTTTAGAGTCAATGATGTGTCCCTTGTCTCTCCCACAATTTATTGAACGATAAATGATGTTGCAGTATGAGAGAAATTAAAAAAGAAAATGATGAAAGATGAAGCTATGAATATGTGACAACTAATAGTGAAAGAGAAATACATCTAATTTGGTTTAATAAGGTTTGGTCAAGCAAGTTTTTTGTTTAAATTGGGATATATTATGATAGCAAGATGTAATGGAAAAAAAATAATGATAATGAGAAAAAAACTCTTGTTTAACAAAATTATCAATATAATTTCCGTGTGTGCAATTGATTTTCTTTTCTCAATTTGGAAATCTTGTTTCAACATTTATTTTCTTTCTTACACTCCAAATTCTTCTATCTTGAAACTATTTTAATTTCAACCTATATGTTGTAGGCTTGAGAAAGAATCAGGGTTCTTTTTCAACACAAAGTACTTTGAAGAGAAAGTTCAGGCTGGAGAATGGGATGATGTAGAGAAGTACTTATCAGGATTTACAAAAGTTGATGACAACAGATACTCAATGAAGATATTTTTTGAAATAAGGAAGCAAAAATATCTTGAAGCACTTGATCGGTAATACTGGAATCTACTTTTTCTGTTAGGCTTTTTATTTTTCTTAAAAAAACCATTTTGAGTTTATTGGGCAAGAGTATAATATTATATTCTGTCCTTTCGTGTTTATTATGTTATAGGCAAGACAAGCCGAAGGCTGTTGAAATCTTAGTTAATGATTTGAAAGTGTTCTCCACATTTAATGAAGAACTTTACAAAGAAATCACGCAGCTTCTCACTCTGGGAAATTTCAGGTAATTTCTTGCATGTAAATAAAGAGGGTATTGATCTAGTAGCAAGGTCTATGTTGACAAATGCTTCCTCCTATGGCCTGGTTAACTGATGATGAAAATTAGGGAAAAGGAGTGAGTACTTGGATGAGGTCCCCTTGATATTTGTTGATCCGTTCAATAAATTTCGTACTTATAAAAAAAGAAAAGTTTCATTGCTTGGAACCTTAGAGAACAAACAATTGCCCAACCAAGACCGGTTAAAGCTTGGCTTGATGGGTGTAGGATTTTATTACTACGAAGCCAAAGCAGCATGTAAGACAAAAATGAATCGAGGAGTGAGTTATTTTACCTCTTCCACATTTTGTCGTCAACCGAGTGGGGCTATCATGTTGTTGGAATCATACTTTAAAGGAGAGGCAATGTGTATTTATGACAATTAAGTTCAAAGTACCCTGCCATCAGAAAAAAAAAAAGGAAAAAGAAAATGAACAGCTCTGTGGGATTGCTTGTTTTTCTATGTCACTTTATAACCCTAATATATGGTAATTGTAGGTAACTGTCTTTTTGGTTTTTTGGTTTTTTTTTTTGGAAATAACTACCAGGGAAAATGAACAGCTTTCCAAGTACGGTGACACCAAAACAGCTCGCAGCATAATGTTGATAGAGCTTAAGAAACTTATAGAAGCAAATCCCCTCTTTCGCGATAAGCTTGTTTTTCCCACTCTGAAGGCATCAAGACTGAGGACTCTGATCAATCAAAGGTGAGAGTGATATTCTTTTGGATGAACAACGCTGGGTTCCCAATTCCTTTTCCCCTCATAGGTTTTCATGTACAGGTGTTCTAGACATTAGTTGATTGCTGCAATGATTTTTTTATAAATAATTCCCTATTTGCTATTCTTTTCTTAATTTTAAATTTGAAGTAAATATTTTTGCCTCACTTCCCTACCTCAATAAATTAGCTAAGCTTGACTCCCTTGCTTGTACTTCAGCATTTCAATTTTCAAATAAACGCATTCTTTATCCATTATATGTTAATTGGTTGCTTTCATTCAAGCATAGGGTGCTTCTAGCACTTGTGTCACCTTATTGAAGGACAAATGAATGACTGAAGCTGGTTTTATTTTGAAACTTGAATGCAATCATTAACATTTGTGTTTTCCTGTTTCCTTTCTCTTCTTCCCAAAAGGGAAAAAATTATAAGCTAGTGGAGGCTATTGTGCTTCTTTTGTGTCGTATACCAGTCCTGAGCCCGGGTAAGGGTAGGAGGGGCTAGTGGAGTTCTTTTAACATTTTCTTATTGTAAAGTTATCATATTGGTTCAGATTTTTGTGCTAAGCCAATCATTGTCTGATATCTGATACTTCTATGTAGTTTGAACTGGCAGCACCAGTTATGCAAGAATCCAAGACCAAACCCCGACATCAAGACTTTGTTCACAGATCATACTTGTGCACCTTCCAATGGTCCTCATACTACTACACCCGTCACTCTTCCTGTTGCTGCAGTTGCAAAACCTGCTGCTTATCCCTCACTTGGAGCTCATGGTGTATGATATTATACATAGAAGCTTTGATCTTTATTCAATTTTCCTTCTTGATTATATGTCAGAGATATAAATTTAAATGTTGACTAGTAAATGTCTTGTTTCCTTTACTGTGTACAGCCCTTTCCGGTCACTGCAGCCACTGCTAATGCTAATGCTTTAGCAGGTTGGATGGTCAATGCCTCAGTCTCTTCATCCGTGCAAGCAGCAGTTGTTACTGCATCATCCATCCCTGTTCCACAGAACCAAGGTGAGAACTTGAGTTGCAATTTTAAAATCATTTTTCTGTACATTGTTGTTTGATTTTCATATTGTGGAATGTACTTCAGATAATTTCAAGTTTCAGTTCCGTAGCTGAGGAAAATTGGATGGTCTTAGCATTTCTAGGTTTAATGTTACACTACACGTTCTAGTATTATTCAATTGATTACAGGGTCAAAAGGTTTTTAAGTTTTGTTTTTATGAGTTATGACGTCCCCTCTCTGCTTATTTACTCATTTCCTTAGTTTCTCTATGTTTTGACAATCTAGTTTTTCATTTAAGCAGTTGCAATCTTGAAACGTCCAAGAACACCTCCAGCAACCCCAGGTATGGTTGATTATCAGAGTGCTGATCATGAACAACTTATGAAACGATTGCGACCTGCTCAATCTATTGGGGAGGTAATCTAGACAATATTCTGTTTAGTATCTAATTTTGGAATATTTTTGCATTTTTTCTGTGTGATACTGAAAGTATAGTAGGACTGGTTTACTTTGCAATTGTTACTAATGTTGGCATTCTTGTCACCATTTTACTTATAGGTTATATATCCAACATCTAGACAGCAAGCTTCTTGGTCACCGGACGACCTACCCAGAACAGTGGCTTTTACCTTGCATCAAGGATCCAGTGTCACAAGCCTGGACTTTCATCCGTCTAACCATACATTGTTGCTAGGTGTGATTGTTTGTCGTCGTGTTTGGCTTTTAAAGTTCGAGTAATATTATAAATAAGGCCCTATTTAAATAGGTTGCCTTGCCCCTGGGCTTTCTTCCATTCTCTTCTGAGTCTTCTATAACTTTATTTTATGTCTGGCAGTTGGTTCTAATAATGGTGACATTACTCTTTGGGAACTTCTGTTGCGTGAGAGGTTGGTTTCAAAGCCATTCAAGATATGGGATATGACAACATGTTCATTGCAATTTCAGGTCATCTTTTAGTCATGTTTTTTTTGGAGGGTTAAGATTTGATTTGGTATTAAATTTTTATGGTCTAGTGTTAATTAAAGCCATGTGATGGAAGCACTTTTGGTCTTGCCTATAGTATAGTTTTCAGAGATTTAAAATGTACGTATTTAACAGTTTAGTTTTTGTACAGGCCACAATTGTCAAAGACACCCCGATTTCTGTCAGCCGTGTTACGTGGAGTCCAGATGGGAGCTTTGTGGGTAGGTACATTTTGAAGCTTGAAATTATTTCTTGAAGAGTTGTGTGTATATCTTATTGTTTTACTTGCTACAGGGGTTGCATTTACCAAACATTTGATTCACTTGTATGCTTATCATGGATCTAATGATCTGCGCCAACATGTGGAGGTGATATGATATTATGATAATTTTTCAGATTGATCAAGAAAGCTAAATTTGTAACTGCTGCTCAAATTGTATCCCTTTTCTTTTTGCAGGTTGACGCCCATAATGGTGCTGTGAATGACTTAGCTTTTGCTTATCCAAATAAACAACTGTGTGTTGTGACATGTGGAGATGATAAGCTAATAAAGGTAGAATTATAATTCTCATCACAAGATTTAATTTACTTAAAAGGTTTCCACTTTATCTAAACGAAGTGAAACAGGTATGGGATTTAACAGGACGAAAACTATATAACTTTGAAGGTCATGATGCACCCGTCTATTCAGTCTGTCCTCATCACAAGGAGAACATTCAGGTATGTTTGCAAAATGGAGAAAGCATTTGTTTTGTTGATTAATTTGTTATTAGTGTTTGGAAGCAAATGCTTTTGTGTAAGTTTAACTTAAATTTATATAAGTTTTCTCATTTACTGAATTTTGAGAATTTAGACATAAGTATATAGGAATAAGAAAACATTCTTTATGGATTTCACTTATCTGAAACAACTAATTGCTTAGATTTATTGGCCGAGGGTCTCTTTTTGAAACTTTTTTGAATGTTTGACTTGAGTACCCTGCTTCCTTGTCATCTACTTTTCTCATCACCACGTGCAATAAGAAGTGTTCTTCTGAAATTTCAGTTCATATTTTCAACTGCTATTGATGGAAAAATAAAGGCCTGGCTGTATGACAATTTGGGTTCTAGAGTTGACTATGATGCTCCTGGCCAGTGGTGTACCACAATGCTATACAGTGCAGATGGAAGTCGGTATGAAAACTTTAAAATATAGACCTCTACAAATTGAGTATTTAGTAAAAAAAAAGTTATTACTCCTTTTTCTGTTATTATCTCGCAGTTTTGACAAACGTATGAGTTATTCATCACAGTTGAAATGTCTTGTCAAAACTTATGTAAGTGCCATCATTTCGTATTATCCTTAAGATTGATTATTATTAGTATTATTATCATTTCAGATTGTTCTCTTGCGGAACAAGTAAAGAGGGAGAATCATTTCTAGTTGAATGGAATGAAAGTGAAGGAGCAATAAAGAGAACATATTCTGGACTCAGAAAGAAATCAGCAGGGGTTGTGCAGTTCGACACAACACAGAATCATTTTTTGGCTGTGGGTGAAGATAGCCAAATAAAGTTTTGGGATATGGACAATATCAACGTTCTGACTAGCACAGATGCAGAGGGTGGACTTCCAGTCAGTATTTTGTTATAATTTCTAGTTTATTTCTTAAACTCCCCTCCCCTGGATGTCGATTTAGGGCATGATATCATTATATTATATGTTTCAGAGCCAACCTCGCTTGAGATTCAACAGGGAAGGAAATCTTCTTGCAGTCACAACAGCAGACAACGGATTCAAAATACTTGCAAATGCTGTTGGAGTTAAAACGCTGAAACTTATGGAGTCCACCACATCTTTTGAGGGACTAAGGCCTCCCATTGAATCTACTGTTATCAAGGTTTTAATCATTTATTTGGTCATGTTTTTATTATCATTTTTTTTTTCTTCATTACATCTTCAAGACCTTATTATTTGTGTCTAAATAGGCATCTGGCTCGCCGTCTGTTACAAATGTTAGTGCGGTCAATTGTAAAGTGGAAAGGAGCTCTCCTGTTAGGTCTACTCCAATTCTTGTATGTCAGTTGATCTTTCTAAATGTTTTTTCTTTTTATTTATTTTCAAATATTCTTTGTTAAGTGGCATAGCATTCATTTGATTATTTTGGCTCTATTTCAAGCTTGGAATTGATCACATGAGTAGAAGTTTCGAAAAAATGAGAAGTCTGGAGGATGCAATTGATAAATCCAAGATCTGGCAGTTGACTGACATTCAGGATTCTGCACAGTGCCGGCTAGCTACAATGCCCGACACAACAGATACTTCCAGCAAGGTGTGTTAAGTATTTCATGCTTATCACATTCTATTGTGACATTTATATGCCATGATATTCTTAAACCATTGCATTTAAATTTAGGTTATTCGACTCCTGTACACAAATTCTGGTACTGGCATTTTGGCACTTGGGTCAAATGGTGTGCAGAAGCTGTGGAAGTGGGTCCGTAATGAACAAAATCCAAGTGGAAAGGTAATAGCTAACCTAGAAGAAGTGTTCAATCATCTGTTTTTCCTCTCTTTTCCATCTAGTTCAGTGCATCTTCTGAAGTTTGTTTGTGTTTAAAGGCCACTGCCAGTGTTGTTCCACAGCATTGGCAACCGAACAGTGGTCTTCTTATGACTAATGATGTCACAGGTGTTGACCTTGAAGAAGCAGTTCCATGCATAGCACTCTCAAAGAATGACTCTTATGTGATGTCAGCTTGTGGTGGAAAGGTCTCATTATTTAACATGATGACATTTAAGGTAAATCTGTACATACGGTCTAGAAAATTTTAAAAAAATTGGGATCCTTTTTTATGGTTAACCATATGAGTTTCTTTGAGTTGTAGGTAATGACAACATTCATGGCACCTCCTCCTGCATCCACCTTCATAGCTTTCCATCCTCAGGATAATAACATCATAGCCATTGGAATGGAGGATTCTACCATCCATATTTACAATGTTAGACTTGATGAGGTAATTACTTATCAGTTTCTTCTCCATTTCCTATGCTTTAATCTTATTTTCTTTCTTGCCTCAAAACTATGAATATGTTGCATTGCTAAAGACCTACATGATTTATCTGTTAATTTTAGGTGAGATCAAAAATGAAGGGTCATCAGAAGCGGATAACTGGTTTAGCTTTCTCAACCAATCTTAATATACTCGTTTCGTCTGGTTCTGATGCTCAAGTAAGTACATTTTTTTGGTTATTTTGATAAAATGCCCAGTAACCCATTGGCATTGTCTTTTCCAAATCTAAACTACATATTTAACTGCAACCTGCAGCTGTGTGTGTGGAGCATTGATACATGGGAGAAGAGGAAATCAGTTGCAATACATATACCTTCTGGAAAGGCACCTGCTGGTGACACTCGAGTGCAATTCCATTCTGACCAAATTCGCTTGCTGGTGGTTCATGACACGCAACTAGCCATATATGATGCCTCAAAGATGGATTGCATCCGACAGGTAGAAAGTTTACTCTGATGTTTTAGTTAAACCAGGGATGATCCTAGATTTGTTACTATAACTTTGTTCTTCCATCTCAGTGGCTTCCACAAGATGTACTTCCTGCACCCATATCTTATGCAGCATACTCCTGTAACAGTCAACTAGTATATGCTGCCTTTTCTGACAGTAACATAGGGGTGTTCGACGCTGATACCCTAAGACTTAGATGCCGCATTGCTCCATCAGCATACCTATCCCAAGCAGTCTTGAATGGGTAAGCTGTGGAGAACTTACCATGAATTTTTAAGGTTCTTGATCCGATATTTTTTAACTAATCCTGCCATGTCCTACATTGTAGAAGCCAAGCTGTGTACCCGCTTGTTGTTGCAGTACATCCACAAGAACCCAACCAGTTTGCTGTCGGCTTGGGCGATGGCTCTGTTAAAGTTATTGAGCCCACCGAATCAGAGGGGAGGTGGGGATCGTCCCCACCTATTGAGAACGGAACACTTAATGGAAGAGCAGGATCGTCGTCGACCACCAGCAACCACACGCACGATCAAATACAAAGACGAGAATAGTTTTAAGTTCTTAGGACATGTCCTGAGCTGTAATTTCTCAGTATAGAATGTTAGGTTTTCAGTTGCTCAATTGTCCCTTATCAAAAGGATAAGTTTGGATGTAGGTTGATATGTGGATAGAGACTAGGGACACATTTAGTAGTTGTAACACATAATTCAGAGGCCAAGGAAAATGGTCATCTCACAAACGAATGTGTTTTTTTGTATGATGTTTTGTTATCTATCTATTGGTTCTTGTTTCCCATAAAAATGCTTGCATATGAAACTACAAGAACACCCTTAATCCATGACTCAACGGTCAACCAACGGGTTGATGTGAAATTACAAGAACACCCTTAATAACGGGTTGAAGTGGTATATCTTTGAGGCAAAGTAAACGACACGTCGTTTTATACGTGGCGGGAATAATTCCTTTCCAATCCAAAACGCATCGTCCAACTCCTCAGACTATATTCAACGTCTCTAATTTTTCTCTATCTCACACTCTGATTTTAGGGTTAGGGTTTATTTGCCCCTCTCACGCTTCGTCCACTTTCCATTTCAATTTCTCTCGTCTTCCGGTTATGGCGAGCCGTACAGACCCCAAAGAGCATAAGGCTTCCGAACCCGCAGAACCTGGTGGAGAAGATCGTACGGTCGAAGATATACCAGAACACGTACTGGAAGGAGCAGTGCTTCGGGTTGACGGCCGAAACCCTAGTGGACAAAGCCATGGAGCTCGACCACATCGGTGGGACCTTCGGAGGGAACCGTAAGCCCACGCCTTTCATGTGCCTCGTGATGAAGATGCTTCAGATCCAGCCCGAGAAGGAGATCGTTATCGAGTTCATAAAAAATGACGACTACAAGTGAGTTTTACTGTCCAGTTAACTAATTGCTTTTGACATACTGTAATTGGTTTTGGACGTGCTTATGTGATTGACAATGTGCATGCTCTGTTAGTTGGGAGAATTCGTGTTGAAGGGAAAGGAAGGGGAATTTGTGGAGTTTTGTGGTTTTTGCTGAGAAACCCTAATCCGAAAAGTGTGTTTTAGACGTTGAATTCTTTCAGATGCGGAATGAGATATTTTGGGTGGTTTGGATATATAGCAATGTTTTGCTTTTTGTAAAAAAATGTAGGAGATATATCTGATATTCTTTGTTGTGTTAGGTGGAGGTAAAGGAAGGATACGGGAAATAATAGGGTCTTGTTATATGAAGAGGAAATTGGTGATTTCTGTTTTTGAATTTTTGCTTAGGAAGGTCGAAACAGTTAGGGTTGGGATAATAGTGCAAGTTGGTTTGGTAGGGTGGAGATTGTTTTTGCTATGTTCTGGTTGAAGCAGCTTTATGATTCTTAATGCTGAATATATTTATTTTTCACATTTCATGTGGACCTGGAGCTTTTTTTCTTATAGTCTCTTTCCAAAAGTTAACATTTATTATTTGCGTTTCAGATATGTCCGGATACTTGGTTGCATTTTATTTGCGTCTTACGGGCACCGATACTGATGTGTACCAGTACCTAGAGCCTCTGTACAATGACTATCGGAAGTTGAGGAGAAATTTGGCTGATGGGAGTAAGTTATATGATCATCTCTGAAGTTTGCATTGATTAGCATACTTACTATTGGATTTTAATGAGAATGCTAATTATTTCTTGCTCTAATTGTATCCAGATTATGCCTTGACACGTGTGGATGAGGTTATTGATGAACTTCTGACAAAAGATTACTCTTGTGACATTGCGATGCCACGAATTAAGAAAAGGTGGTTGTTTATTGGAATAAAATTTCCTAGTTGATTTTATCATGGTGACTTTTGTTTTTTGTTTTTCCTATAGACATAGTTGAATATCCTCACCCTTCTTTACGTTTGGAGTGCAACTTGGCCTGGTTTTGTATTTGGCCCCTTGTATCTCTCCCCTGTTCTAGGTTTCCATGAGGGTCCATTTTTACTTCTACAATTTTAGGTTTATGTATGTAATTTCTTTCTATATTCATACAGATGGACTCTGGAAGCAACTGGTTCATTGGAACTCAGGAAAAGTGCGTTGGAGGAGGACTTTGAGGAGGAGGGAGAGAAAGAGGAGAACGATCAACTTGATGGACTGGATGATGAAGTCCATGATAGGGATTATTATCGTGGCCGAAGCCCTGTAAGAGAAAGGGACAGGGATAGAAGACGCGACAGTCACAGATACAGGTTCGTTTCTCTGTTTGTAGCATATGATTTGTTTTTTAGACATGGAAGTAATGTTTATGTTGGTCACTGACTGATGTTTCTTTCTAATATTTATGTATATTTTTTTTAACATAGTAAGGTACAGTACAGCCTCCTTGCATCATGATGATTGACTGAGAATGAACAATTTTCTTTTATACAAATTTTTTATGTTTACCATATATTAATTCTGACACATAACTGGATTGTCTCTTTGTGTGTGTTGGTCGGTTGGGATGAAGGCTTGGTTAATAGCTCTGGGAATTAGATTGGTTGGGTTCTTATTATTTGTGTTATTGTGTGTGAGTGGAGATATTTTGGATCTTCAGGTGATTTCTGAACTAAACTGAATGTTCTCTTCTCTCTTTTTTCTTTTGGGGGTGCGGGGGAAGTAAAATTTTGTTGAAAATCGAGCTGAGAGCATGGAGTAATAGAATGAGAGGCAAAAGAAAATAAAATAAAGCAAGTCTAAACTGATTTTTTTTTCCTTTTATAAATGAGTGTCTGGGTAAACATGAAATCCATTCAAGTAATCTCAACTGATTTTCATTTGGGTTCTGCCTGTCTTTGGATGAATCAGTCTTGTAGCTGTTGTGGGAAATTTATTAGACTTTTATGTCATAAAAATAATGACTTTTAAAGTGAAAGCTGTTGTCTGGCTATTCAAATTCAGACTAGTACATTCATATGTCATTGAAGTTTCTACCATTGAATTTTAAGCAATAGGTGTTATATAATGGCTTCCTATAGTATATCCTTGATTCTGCCAGGTTTCTCTGCACTGACAGTGTGCAGTGAGAAGTATGATGGATCATACATTTTTCCTGCAGTGTAAATATGGTTCCCTGGTCAGTTGTGTCTTTTCTTATTTCGCATTTGGAGTTAATTCAGCAAAGTTGGTTAATTGAATGCCATTGGTTCTTTTTCTGGGAAGCCCTGTGGTTGATTTCATTTGTAAATGTCGAATTCTACCATATAGTTACTGTTTGTTGTTAAACAAAGGATTGAAACTGTCATCTTGAAGCTAACACTGCCATTTCTGTTTCCTTATTTACTCCCATAAAACAGGGACCACGATTATGACAGACTATGATAGGGATAGAGACTATGACAGGAAACGCGGACATGGACGAGAAAGAGATAGGGATCGGGACTGTTATCGACTAAGAGATGAAAAGGATCGTGGTCACAATAGGGAGCGGGATAGGCAAGAGAGGGATTATGGCAGGAGGAGGAGCTATTCAAGGAGCAGAAGTCGGAGTAGGGATCGTGAGGGTCGGGATAATCGCAAAAGACATGGCCACAGCAGCATGAGTCCCAGGAGACGGGATGGGCATGATGAGCATGGCACTTGTGAGGAGTCAAAGAAGAAGAAAGAAAAGAAGGAGAAGAAGACTGATGGGACAGACCATCCAGATCCAGAGATTGCTGAAGCAAACAGTCTCCGTACATCTCTTGGATTGAAACCTCTGAAGATGTGATAATGTTGGTTGACTAGTTCATGTTAATGTGAGTGTATCTCAACTGTCTTTGGATTTCTGAACCTTTTACAGCTAGTGCTTTCAGCATCTCCTGTACATCCATTACTCAAGTTCATATAAAGATCATTTTTACTGACTGTTCAGGCAGTCATTTTTCAGGAAAAACTGTAACTCTTGGTTTTGTGTACAGCATTGGTATGGGCCAAAACAAATGCCGTGCATTTGTGAAAGCATTAACAATATAACAAGAGCTAAATACTTTTATAAGAAGAAACATGCAAAATCTTTACATCTAACAAGAACACAAGTCTTGACCCAAAAATAAAGAATAGCACGAGTAAATTGAAAAGAAAACAGAATCATGAAGGGAACAAATACTCATATCATGGCATGATCTCAGTTATCAAAATGCCATTTGCATTATACTGAAGGGTGCCAGATAAACTCAGTGGTCTGCACTTGCTTCCCATTAGAATCCTTTTCTTGCATAACTCCTGGGCACCTCTTTCTTCCATAGCTTTGCTATCTTCTTGCTTTGAATTGTCTTCCCCATCGATCTCCCTACTTACCATTTTTGTTAGGGACCTTGCCATTCTCAACTTCCAGCGATTAGTCGGCATGAATTTTGATGGAACCAAATTCAAGTTACCTGAACTTTCTTGCTCCCCAATCACCCTGAAAGTAGCATGAGCAACACCAATATCAACTCGTTTAGCATTATCACATTTGATATAACAAAAAGGTGCACATAGGTTAGTATCATCATCATTGGCTCTGCTGTTGCACTTGGTTTTGCTTTTCATGAAACTTCCGCCATTGGAGGAAGACTTTTTCTCTGGTGATTTGATCTTCATGTTGCCAAATGCATAGGTGAAGAGGGAACTGATTTTCCTCGGCAGAAGCTTTCTGGGTTTGTTCTTGAGTTTCTTCTTCTCCTTCGTGCAATGCTGCTTATTATATCCTCCATCGATGTTCTTGCTGCACCCATAATCAAATCGTTTTTGCATGGTCTTGGCTAGCAATTTGGGGACCTTAATCCTTATCTTTGGCTGACGAGTAGTGATCCTAATAAAATATGACAGCGGAGGGCGTTGTGGTATATTTCTGCGGTCCATTGCAATATGAACAACTACAGTTTGAGTTTTCCTTCCAACTTTCTATCTGCAAATCGAAGTGGTCATTGCAATATTATATAACTTTGTTGGTGGCCTCCGCGAAAATAGAGAAAGTGGATTGGAGAAGTGGGGGGAAGAGTTGGCAGACGTGGGTGGGTGGAGCCGTGGAGCTGTGTCTTGCAATTCTAGGGGCCAAAAAAGAAGTGACATTTTTATTTGGAAAACAATCTCAATCTCATATTGGACGGTACAAACCTGAAACCGTCTCTCTCGCTCCCGGATCTCCCTCCCTCTCTTGTCCATCAATCACATTGCGACCACTTCTGCCTTCAGCTGCTTTCTCTTTTCTCTTTCTCTCTTTCTCTCTCTCTCTCTCTCTCTCTCTCTCTCTCTCTCTCTCTCTCTCTGATATGAATAGCTGAAATCCACATTGCATTGCACAACCCATCAAAATCTGTACGCTTTTTTGCATCATTGATCTTTGGGTTCACATAAAGTTCGAAACTTTAGAGCATTTTCTTATGAAAATGTCTGCCTCTGTGTGTTGTCTAATTTGATCTGTAGATACAAATAAATACAAAAGAAACAGAAGAAAAACAGAGAAAGGACCATTGAAGCAGAAATGACAGAGCTTTGCAATCTGCCAGAAGATATGGCATTGAATATTCTCTCAAGGCTGCCGCAAAAATCTCTGGTTCGATTCAAATGCGTCCATAAATCCTGGCAAAACATGATCAACAACCCCCATTTCATAACCACACACCTCTCCAATTCCACGCGTACGTCCAGCAGTCTCTTTTTCAAGCGCTCGGTCATCAAGAACACCGAAACCGACGACAGGGAAACTCTCCTCACATTGGTTAGTAACAGCTACGACAATGCGCGCGAAGATGCTGCTGATGATGCTGAGCAAAACAAGTCATAGTTTTGTCGCCGAAGACATCGCTAGGGAACAATGTTTTGGGTTTGAGGATTTGAAATCTGTGACTCTTCATGGGCATGCTGACGGGATCATTTGTCTAACCGAATCCGACAACAAAATGGTTTTATGCAACCCGGCAACCAGGGAATTCAAAAAGTGTGCTTCGTCTGACCCAGGTGTTGGTGCTTTGGGATTCAGAATCGACCCGAAAACCAGGGATTTCAAAGTTGTTAACATTACTGAAAACGGTGAGGGCGACAACGACGGCGATGATGAACACCTCATTTGCAATCCTCCCACAATAAAACTCTACACTCTATCTACCGATTCTTGGAGAGAAATCTACACTCACACTTTAGAAACCGAAACCATCTACATTTTGCCTGGTTGTTTACAGATGTACTACAAGGGATTTTGTTATTGGGCGGGAAATGAGCAACTGAAGGAGTTCATCAGTGTATTTGACATGACGGAGAACCAAACAGTTAGGCAATTGATCATTTCGTTTGATATAGTTGACGAGGTTTTTCATCCTATATTGTTTCCCGACATCATATACGACTCGGGCTATAGTCCACATAGTCAGCTTCTTGTGTGGGACGAATCCGTTGATCTTTATGCATCCATTCATGATGGATCGATGGGATTATGGTTGATGGATGACGGCGGAGGTTGGACGAAGCTATTTGCCTTTACAGCGTTGGAAGATGTCCCGTCACCATTGCGATATTGGAGAGGCAGCAGCCATGATGAGCTGCTTCTTATGGTTTCCCAGGAAGGCTGCCTGTTCACGTTCGACCTCGATACAGAAACCCAAGAGCATGTTCCGGTTCGCAGCACGGACGACTACCAAGACTCTGTCTTCCACGAGTATTTTGTGGTTTGGGGCGGAGACCCGGATTGTTTGCAAGTTGTTGTGTGTGTGGGTACCATAGTTCCCTTAAACAGAAGCAACCAGTGCTAGAGAACTGCAGAGATAAGTTTAGTGTGATGATATAAAATATAACAATAATTAGGATGAAATTATGTTGAAATTGTATTTGATCTTGTATTTTTGTTACTAGCTTCTAGCTATTCTTTAGGACAATAGCAAACCTGATCAATATAAATAAAAATTTAGTGCAAATCGTGTTGCGGTTTAAAGGACACTTTCTTTTTGTGTTAATACAGATTTTAGGGTATGATCGATACAGAAACCCAAGAGTATGTTCCGGTTCGCAGCACGGACGACGACCAAGACTCTGTCTTCCACGAGTATGTTGTGGTTTGGGGCGGAGACCCGGATTGTTTGCAAGTTGTGTGTGTGGGTACCATAGTTCCCTTAAACAGAAGCAACCAGTGCTAGAGAATTGCAGAGATAACTTTAGTGTGATGATATAAAATATACCAATAATTAGGATGAAATTATGTTGAAACTGTAATTTGATCTTGTATTTTTGTTACTAGCTTCTAGCTATTCTTTAGGACAATAGCAAACCTGATCAATATAAATAAAAATTTAGTGAAAATCGTGTTGCGGTTTAAAGGACACTCTCTTTTTGTGTTAATACAGATTTTAGGGTATGAGTGGTTTCTTTCCCTCCATGGAGACATTCCTGCTTTATTCAATTAAATACAATCAGAAATACAAAAGGAAATATTTATGCGCACATGTCCAATTGGAATTGACATGAAAGTAGGAATTACAATTACTACTCCCACAGGGAGAAGACTAGTGTTTTCCTTCCGCATATTGTGACCAAGAAAATTATACATCTTACTATTATTATAGTGTAAATCGTGTTGCAGTTAAAAAGACTCTTTCTTTTAGGATGCTGGTTTGCCTTTTTCTTTGGTTGAAAACATTCTTGGTTTTTACAAATTACATTTTGACACATGAAAAAATAATTTATTAGAAAGACAAAAAGGAAAGATTTACGCACGTATTTGTGATTGACAGGAAAGATGAGTTACTATTCCTAGGAGAATTCCTTTCCAACATAGACCAGGAAAATTGTATGTATATAAGTAGCAGGAGATCTCATTCCCAACTCATGTGTGTAAAAATTGTGTGGACCATACCAAAGCCCGGCCCAAAATAAGAGCGCGAATCTGCAAAACCCCTGAGATCAAAGTCGGCCACATCATTCATTTAGTCCATATTTAGAGCCCAATCTATCGGACTGAACGAGTAACTCCAATCTTTCTCGGATTGGACAACAAACCTAAAACCCTAAAACAATCTCCTCTTTCTCTCTCTCTCTCTCTCTCTCGCTTCCTCTCTGTGCATAGCATTGCGGCCACTTCAGGTACCTTCTCTCTCTGTTTCTCACTCTCTATCTCTCTCTATCTCTCCGAGCTTCTACTCCGATTGAAACCTTCTTCTGTTCGTAATAACAACTGGCCGTAATATAAACTGTATGAAAGTTCGCTCTTTTCCCGATATATAAATTTCACGATGACTCGCTGAATTGAATAGAATTCTATGCAATTTGTTGAAATTTTGGACGCCATGTATCTCACAGATCTCGGATTCAGATAAAGTTCTAAACTTTTTCCCGAGAAATCCGTCCGATTTGTCGAATTAAAGCTTATAATCATTGTTTGATGATAGATGCTTAATGTGTATCCCTGCATCGGTTTCCCGATAGCAAAATTACGTCTTTTTTCTGTTTGGATTTTCTTTGGAGGCACAGGTGCTGGTGGTTTTTATCCTGGGAGAATGAATCGTTAAACGTGTGCCATGTTTTCTTAGTATTTGTTTGATTAATGGTTTAAGTTGGCTGTTTGGATTTTGATGTTTTGTTATCCGACTTCAATTGTGACAACAAGGACATTTTGTGGTTCAGGTGACTGTTGCATTGTGCGGGGCAGCTGAAGTTTCGAATCGAACATGTCGAATTTTGCAAAACCGGAAAATGCCTTGAAGCGAGCCGAAGGTGAGTCACTGCTGATTTATGGCTTCTTAGCTAAATATGAATGTCTGATTGTTTAGTTTACTAAGTTTTTATTACTCATTTGATTGTATAGTTTCTGAAGTTGCTGTAACCCTTTATTGTTAACATGTGTCTGTTTCTTTATACAATAGTGCTTGGGATATTCATTGAACAAGTTAATTGCATATCAATTTTATGCCTTAATCATTGCCCCTTTTATCTGAATCTGAATTGACAATTATAATGTGTCGCTGCAGAGTTGATCAATGTTGGGCAAAAGCAGGATGCATTACAATCGCTTCATGATCTTATCACCTCAAAGAGATATAGAGCATGGCAAAAACCACTGGAAAGGATTATGTTCAAATATGTAGAGCTTTGCGTTGACTTGCGTAAGGGTAGATTTGCCAAGGATGGTCTGATTCAGTACCGCATAATATGTCAACAAGTTAATGTCAGTTCCTTGGAAGAGGTGATCAAGCATTTCATGCATCTATCAACTGAGAAAGCTGAGCAGGCTCGTACTCAGGCTCAAGCCCTGGAAGAAGCACTTGATGTCGATGACCTTGAAGCAGATAAAAGGCCAGAAGATCTGATGCTGAGCTATGTCAGTGGTGAGAAAGGAAAAGATAGATCAGATCGTGAAGTTGTTACCCCTTGGTTCAAGTTTCTGTGGGAGACCTACAGAACTGTGCTGGAGATCTTACGTAATAACTCAAAGTTGGAGGCTCTTTATGCGGTATTGTAATTCTTGCCCAGAACAAAAAATTTTAATTTGACTGCTTTAGTCATTCTGCTCTTTAAGAATATTCGTCCATAAGATATAAAGACTTTAGCAGTTCAAATCACTCAGTAGTTAAAGAAGGCATTTGTAGATTATCGAGTGTTCTCCAAGGTTCTAGTACTTTACTTCATAATCTTAGCATTAAAAACAACTCACTAAGATTCTATTACTTATAACTGCCTTTGAGAGGATTTGCATTGTTTTTGGGTCGTTTATTGTACTGAGTAATTTGTTGAGATTTAGGTGAATTTGCGTAAAAGCCTTGTTCTTGCTTCGAAGGCCTTGCAAAGGGTCCATTATTTGACCCTTTCTCATTAGAGTTGGAAGGATATAATTCATAGCTTTGCTGTATACCTGGGTTTTGTTTTAGATAACTTCTGTTACAGAAAGATTAATGTTGCCATTTCTGTTTGAGTTTTCCACCTCATGGACCTAGCAGCACACTGCCAATCTTGTTTTCTGCTATTATCATCTAAAACATCATTAATAATGATATATATTCCATATTCGAGTTTAATCATGGTATACTTTTGTGGTTTGTGTCGAACAGAAGTATACAATTTGCTTTATTGTAATATTTAAGAATTCTATTTCATAGAAGAAACTATGGTGTCTGATTGAAATCTTTAATCTTTAGATGACGGCACATCGAGCCTTCCAGTTCTGCAAGCAATACAAGCGGACGACGGAGTTCCGCAGGTTATGTGAAATCATCAGGAATCATTTAGCGAATCTGAATAAATATAGAGATCAAAGAGACCGACCTGACCTATCTGCACCTGAGAGCTTGCAGCTGTATCTGGATACAAGATTTGAGCAGCTGAAGATAGCTACTGAGCTTGAATTGTGGCAGGTGTCTGATTTTATTTTTTCTGATGTTTTTATTATTATTTTTTATGTGTGAATTCTGTCAACAAATTTGCAAAATCTGTCAATCTGCTTTTGAATTCTGTCTATTTCTCACATTACGTTTTTCCTGATGGTATCTGCAGGAAGCATTTCGTTCTGTTGAAGATATTCATGGATTGATGTGCATGGTTAAGAAAACCCCCAAAGCATCCTTGATGGTGGTTTACTATGCCAAGCTAACAGAAATTTTCTGGATTTCAGCTAGCCACCTTAATCATGCTTATGCATGGTTAAAGCTGTTTACACTTCAAAAAAGCTTTAACAAGAACTTAAGCCAGAAGGATTTGCAGTTGATAGCATCATCTGTTGTCCTGGCTGCACTTTCAGTTGCCCCCTATGATCAAACACGTGCTGCATCACATTTGGAATTTGAAAATGAGAAAGAGCGCAATTTGAGGATGGCTAATCTAATCGGGTTTAATCTTGAACCCAAGCTTGACAGAGGAGATGTGGTATTGTCATTTTATTCATTGTTTTTCTTTTGATTCCATCTTTTAATGGGTTTTCCATTCTGACAATCTGTTTTGTGTCCAGCTTTCAAGATCATCTCTTCTCTCTGAACTGGTAAGTTTGCCATGGTCTGTTTTATGGTTATTTACTGTTATTCTTGAGCTTTAATCCTTTTGCTTGTGATGAACATTAACAATTATAAATTTTCTAAATAGACACAACTTTTCTTGTACTTTGTGACCAGATTTTCAATTTGCTGGTTAGGTAACATTAATAATAGAGTAAAGGAAGTATATGCATAGCTTTCTTTTCAAATTTGAATAGCTTAATTTTGCTTAGTGGTGCTCTGTCCTTTTCATAATGTGTACCACAGTTTGTCCCTTGTCCCAAAATGAGTCTTTCTTATGGTCAAAGAAATACAAATTTTTATTTCCCATTACCCCTTAGAGGTTATATGAAATCCTACTGTAATATGTGATTTTCAAACTGTGACAATCATTTTGGGGTGGAGTTTTCTTTTGAGATCGATGATGAAAAATGTCCCTTAAGTTTTTGTATCAATCAATATTCAGGGATATGCATTTGCTGACGACAAATCAAATTGGATTTTACATGTTTGAAATGTTTCTAAATGTGCAAGTGTTATTATGCAGCTTAGGAATTTATTTATTTATTTCGGTGTTGTTTTCAGGTCTCCAAAGGTGTGTTGAGCTGTGCAACCCAGGAAGTTAAAGATCTTTACCATCTCCTGGAGCATGAATTTTTACCTCTAAATCTTGCTGTAAAGATGCAACCATTGTTGGCCAAAATCTCAAAAGTTGGGGGGAAGCTGTCTTCGGCTTCTTCTGTTCCAGAAGTGCAACTGTCTCAGTATGTTCCAGCCCTTGAAAAGCTTGGTACTCTGAGGTTGCTCCAGCAGGTGGGTTGAGTTTTTGGTTTCTTATTCATTCAGAGTTGTACATTTTAGTTCATTTAAATCTA